ATAATGGGAAATACATGGTTGTTGTTTTTCTTCTTTTTGTTCTCTTTGTTTTGTGGGGCTCTGCTCAGGGTACATCAAGTTAGCTAGCATGTACGGAAACCAAATGGCGTGCAAAAGAATTAACATTCTAATTAAAATCTAATTAGACTTTGATTTGCTAGATAATTATAATCGTGTGTTGCTGTTCTCTGGACTATTCAGATTTGATGAGGTGTGTTATGGTAATTACCTCACTGATATGGAGTTGTGTGACAGCGTAGTTTTCACAATGAGGCAAAACAAAAGAAAATGGATTCAGTTTGTTTGTGTAATCCGTGTTTCAGGAGAAGCTACGCTGTGAATAATTAGTTCTTATACTTAAATGAGGTGAAAGTACTTCCTCAGAATAGAAAATGTAAACAACGAGCAGCTCTACAGGCAGATGTGGACATCACTATTTTTATATTACTGTCGTCTCTAACGTATTTGCTGGCATTTTATGATTTTTATGAGTAATGCTTTCAAAATAATAGTGTTGTTTCAGCTTTATTTAGCTATTTGCAGCGTTCAGATCAGAAATACACAATATTATACATTTTTATTTTAAATGTCTTTAAAGCAGATTTGTCAATTCCGGATTTAAAAGGCTTTCAAACACTACAAACATTGTACATTTCAGAGGGACATCAATCAATAATGGTTAAGCTACTTTCCCAAATTCCTTCAGAACTCTCGCTTGCATGTCTCTACCTTATACGTAAGTATGTTGCCCGTTCTCACTCCCGAGGCGTAATATAGTTATGATTTTTTCAACTTTTACCCTAATACTGATCTAATACTGATGCCTTGGGACCTCTTGATCTCAATCTTTTTACGATAGTTTTAAAATAACATTTCATTGTTGCAACCTTGTCCTTGTAGAGTTAGTTTAGTTTCACCTCCTAGCATCCACATCACAGGCAATCCATCCGGGGCTAGATGATTAGGGGTTTGAGTTAGGTTTTGATAGATTTCAAAGACAAAATTGAAGAGTTATTCCAGAATGTTTATGCCCTAGCAGTTGAAAAGGCTAGTTTCATAATTGATGTATGATAAATTTCTTTATTGAAAAGACTGGCATGTTTGTCTCTATTCAGCTCGCTTTATTTTATGAGTTTGTTATGGCACCGAAATAAAATTCATGATATGTCAGTGTATTTTATAAATGTACTTTTCTTAACTTAGAGATGGAGAGAAATGAAGTTATGTGAATGTAGCTTCTTCTTCTTTTTCTTCTTCATTAAGCTGCTTCCATCTGTCTCCATCTCACCCTGCCCCTAGCATCTTCCTCTGTCACATCAGCCCATGCATATCCTCTTTCACTACATCCCTGAATCTTTTCTGAGGTCTTCCTCCTTTCCTCCTGCCTGGCAGCATCATCTTCAACTTCTTTTGACCACTCCACTATCCCACCTCTGCAACTGTCCAAACCATCTCAGTCTTGCCCCTCTGATTTTGATATTATATAGGCTAGTGTTCATGGCTTTCAGTGCTGATGGGAGCTACCTCAATAAGCAGAAATTGCAGTAAGTGTTTAAAATCTTTTAATCTACCTTTATTTGGAACATTTGTTGTAGCAGATACAGGTAAAGCAGGAAGAGCTCAACAGCAGCTGTGGCATTAATTTCATAGCCTGGAGTCACATCTACTGCAGAGCCAGCTGCACGCACCTTGTTCAAACAAAAGACGTGACTCATCACTTACGACCAAACCTGGAATTTCCTGCATGTTGTGTAAAACACCACCTGATGAAATGTATAACTGGTGTTGAATGTAACCTGAGGGGAAAGCTACTGAGATATAAAGGAGTTATGAAACTTAATTACTCATCTAGAGTCAATAGATACAACTGTGAAAACATTTGCATTATCTGTCTTGGTTTTCCCTTGAAGGCTTGGTTTTGGAATGCTCCTTGGCCACATGTTCATATTGCATTTGGTTAAATGGTGCTGTGTGGCTCGGTGGGTGGAGGATGGCTTTTGTTTTATGCATACAGCTCCATGGTACGCTGCCAGAATTAGAGACGGGGGTGGGGGGTGGCGGTTCAGCTCCCACTGTAGATCAATGTGAGGAGCAATGCACTAAGTCGTCCAGGTTGGGGGATTTAAAACTGCACAATGAGCCATTTATGCTGATGATGGAGGCTGATGTAGTTCTGTGAGGACCCTTGAGTATAAAGGCAAATTTAATTTCAAATCCAACCACGAATTCCCAAAGATCTGATTCAGATCATTATCTTTAATTCTTGCAAGCACTGAAAATGTATATGAAAAAACAAATGGCCACCACATCAAGTCTATTCAACTGCCTATAACACACTTCTTTGAGGAAACATTTGTTTTCATTCTTTCTTTCTTTCTTTCTGCATATTTGTTTTCCTTATTTGTTTTACTATCCGTACCTACCTGGCTGTTTGTGAAAAAGTTATTGCCCTTGACATCAGTCTAGAAAGTGCTACCAAGCCCTTTCTAGGGCTTTAGGACTCCAGTGAACCATGGTAACAACTATTATCATACCAAAATTACTCCAAGAGCACATCAACAACAAAAGAAACCGGAACAACATCTAATGATGCAAAAATGGCATCCATAGGAGACTTTCAAGGAGAAGACCACTGCTAGTCAAAAACAACACAAAGGCTTGTCAACCCAAGACATTTGGGACTTTTGTGATGGCCTGGAGCTGCTTCAGGATGACCTGATGCAACCATGAATTCTGCCCTTTACCAGAAAAATGTCCGCTCATCAGTTTAGCCCTGAAGCTCAAGCACACTTGGGTTATACTGAAGGACAGCGATCTTAAACACACCACCAAATTCACCTCGGAAGGGCTAAAAAAATGAGGAAAAAACAATTAAGTCCCAGTTTTGGCACGACCTTAAAAAGGCCATTCATGCTGGAAAACTTTCCACTCCAGCAGAGTGCAAAGACGAGTGCGTGAAGACTCCACTTAATTGCAAACACTACTGCAAGCGCTTAATGTCAGTTCTAACTGCCAAGGCTGGTACCATCAATTATTCAATCACCTTTTCACACAGGTCCAGGTAGGTTAGGATAGCTTTTACTACCTCTTAGTAAATAAAATCATCATTTAAACATTGCATTTGTATTTACTCAGATGATCGTTGTCTAACATTAAAATTTGTCTGATATCTGAAACGCGCGATTGTAATTTATGCAACAATCAAATACAAATTCAAAAAGAGGGCCAAATATTTTTTCCACAGTACTTTATACAAAATCTAAAGCAGACAGACTGGAGATTAAGAAATGAGAGGAGAGGCTTCTAAAGCGTCTCATTCTCTCAAAAACTGCAACAAATACCACAATAAAAAAATAAGAAAGCATGTGTGTCCTTAAGCAATGTCTTTTTTGTGTAACTTCTTGGATTTCACACATGGTGGACCTCACATCTGCATCCTCTTCCTGTGCTTGTGTAGCCAGCAGACTTTCTGCTTCCCTCAGCGTGACTGTTCGATCTGTATTGGAAAAAGAGCTTTGGATGCCTTCTCTGTATGGCACGTGTTCATACAGTTTGAAATGAAGCATGTTGCAGCCAAGCTAATGTTAGTGCTCCAACAAAAGCCTCTTAACTCAGATGTCATAAGAATTTAGGGAAATTGTGTCATTGTGAGAAAAAGAGAAGATGAAGCATGTGTGGTCATTTCAGCTTTCATAGCCTGAAAGCACAAATCATTAATCATTTCTCTTAGTTCCAAAGATCCCCTGTGCAACAGGAAGCTTTGGAGCCTTGGAGCCAAAATAGCTAACTAGCACCATTTGGTTTAAGAGCAACAAAAACACACATTTTTTCACCAGGTTACCAAGACTTTTGAAATGTTTCTCCGCGGTTTTTGAAAGATGAGACATCTCAGCAGAGCAAAAACAAAAACACTCTTTATCCTTCTTATGTGATCATTATTATGTAGTCCTCTTCATAAGGTGATACAGATGTTGGGTGTGTGCAATGGGAACTCCAGCACTGCATAAGAAACAGCTGGTTCCATCCCGTGCATGCGCACTGGACTGGACTGGAGGCTGATGACGCCTTCAAGTGCCGTCAGTATAACAGCGCTTTCCCAAAGTTGGGCAAACGTCAGAAAAAAAATAAAAATAGGTCAATGGATGACACATTCATCATATTAGTCGCGAGCAGCTTTATGGTGATGTCATATTTATTGTTTGTTTGTTTTTTAACAACCTACAGCTCCATCATTAAAACCATTCGTTAATTCTGAGTACGTTCAGGAACTTTGGCAGTGTGGGGTGGACTTCCTTGTGTCTGGTTTGTTCCAGCTTATTCTGCGGATGCTTAATCAGATGGGACGGTTTGTAGTTTGTAGACGGTAATTTGGAGGAAATAAACATTTTCTTTTCTTTTTTTAAGGTTGTAAGATCAGGGCCTGCCATTTCAGTGGGAGGAGGCGGCCAGGTGGGAGCTTGGTCTGCGGTAAAATTAGGGCAGACTGACTGGCAGGACAGGTTTACCAGCAGCACAGTGCATTTTAACTGGATGATCAAAGTTATATGACTGACCTGTCACTTTTCTTTGATGGTTACATTTTTATGATGTTGTCCATTTTGTCCAGGTTAAAACACCTTTAGTGATGAAACGTACAGCGTTCAGGCTGTAGGCTACAGTAAAACGAAGGATTACGTGATTTGATGGCACGGCCTTCAGAAACATGAGCACTTTTAGACTGCGTATTTTTATATTTTCATATTTAAAAAAACCTGAAAAAACAAACGTCATGCAATTTACTTACAAAACAGTAACAGTAACAGTCCTTTCCACCACGTAATAAAGCATCTATTGTGTGCTTATTAAACACCTTTCTCTCCATTTACCAGCTTTGTTAAATTCAACACGAGCTCTTTTCTGGGCACATCTGTAAAACGAAGCAGGAACTTTAAAAGAAGCGATTAATTTTGTACCAAAGCTACGCCTACAGCACTCAGCAGTACGAGTTTTGAGCAGCCCTTGAAGTTCTCACAGTTTGTCTCGGTGAAGTTTGCGAAAAGCTGATATTTTTTGGGTTTCTTCCGTCTGGGGTTTTGCGTGTTTTTCGCCAGGTTTGATTTTATTGAGGATGTGAGTGAGCAGTGAATCACAACGATGTAGAAACTTCATCGGTGACGTGACGTGACGTGACGGCGATTTCCTTGATTTTGTTGCTCAAAGTGTTAACTTGGTTGTTTTGGAAGAAGTCTGACATGCAGCTCCTCCTCCCCGAAAACTCATCTAAACTTTGATTTTTCTCAACGAGCAGCGACTCCTTATCGTTTCTCTGTGTGGCAAACATGCGGGAAAAGTTGTCACGTTACTTTGCCGCGGAGGAGAAACTTGTGCGCGGACAGAGCGGCTGGACTTCGGCGGTGGTCGCGGTGCTCCTGCTCGGGTTGTTCGCCTCGTGCTGCTGGGCAGAAGAAGCGTCCTGTCACGGGGCGTACGACCTCTACTTTGTTTTAGACAAGTAAGTGAAAACTGCAGGCAGAGCTGGTGAACTTTAGATGACTCCTGTCTGATCGCGCTGCAGCAGCATGCTTTTTGTTATGGACTTCTGTGTTTGCCTTTGGAGGAGGACGAGCCGGTGCACCCCTGGGATGTTGGGGGGATAGTTTGGTTAGGGTGGACAGATTATCTGCGACCTGATTAGGAATATGCGTTTTCAACATATCCTGTATCTTATGCAGACTGTGTATAAATTTGTGGCACTATAAGGTTTACATTGGGTTACTGTTACTGGCCGAAAAAACCACTCAGGTCTGCTGCGTTATGGAGATGAAGTGCTACGGCCAGGGCCTTACCTAAAGGGGGGGCAAAGGGTTGTTTAAAGTCTGATGGGACCCACTTGGTGCCTGCTTCTCGACTTTAGTTTCACTGAAAACTTTATACACTCTACTCATTCCATTTATTTATCAATTATTTTTCACATTAAAAAATAAATAAATAAATCTACTTATATGTGATGTTGTTTTGCTTCTGAATGTCAGTTTTAGCGGATTTCTTATTTCCCAAGGGGGTCACATGGATTTCCATGTTAGAGTTGGCAGTTTTTGCAGGCGATGAAGTCTAAGTTTTAACATCCAAACGTGCAGTTTGGAGTGGCCTGGCCTGAACTGCGCCTCTGCCTGAATCCCATCTGTTGACATCAGTGGCAGACCCCAGTCATGCTGATGTGGCTGACTGGGGTAAAAATGTGATGTTACAGAAGTGGGGTTGGACAGGGGGAGGGAAACGTAACAAACTAAACCACTTTAAAAGCCAGCGAGTTGTGATAAAAATGAATTGACATGTTATAGTTAACTATACAACTGAAGCACAATAATCAACTGTGAAGTGATGCTGAAGTTGCTGATGTTTGTGTGTGCGAAGCGACTGATGGATACAGTCAGCTCTAATGAAGCTTCCCTGTGCTTTGAACGTACTGTTGTTTTGCTAGAGTGATTAAAGCTGTGCATGTAAAAGACCTTATCACTGAAGGTGATAACAAGTTTCATTTACCAAAACTCACAGTACAAAGAAGGAATGTGCGTGGCAGCGTGCAAACTGATCACTCCTGGCACTTGCTTACTTTGGTGTTGTTATGGCTAGCTGGATATCTTTTAAATTCTTTGTAATCTGGTACAAGTGGAGACTGGTTCATATTCAAAGTGAATAAGCTGTGTTCAGGTTTACTGATATCTCAAAAAAAAAACCCATCAGTGAGATCCTGGCAGGAATTTACTAGTGTGATAAAACCTTCTTCAGTATCACTTTTTCTTTTTCCAGAAGTATAACAGTCTCTATTTTCTTGATACATTTAGGAGAAGACTACAGCAAGTCGGGGAAGTATAAAAGGTTATATTTACTGTGTTAGCATCCCGTTCATTCTCACAACAGCAAATATGTCAGCCCTAACTGCAGCTTAAGAGTCATGTACATAGTTATGCAAGGCAAATTGCACAACAGTTTAAATGATGTATCACATGAATTACAGCATGACAAAGGATGATCGATTAGTAACTTCACCGTTTCTCTAGCTGCTGCATCACAGGGTTTTGGGTACCTTAAAAATTAGGCAGTGTGCAAAATCTCATTGCTAGATATCAGAGGTTTGCAGATTGCAATCAATAAGTTGTGTTTTCTTCCACCTCCCAATTCAAGTACATAATCCCAGTTATGGTGGTCACTGTAGGACAAGCATCTCTGACCACCAGTCAACTGTAGTGACTGTCAGTCTGCTGTTTGTTTCGTCTGTCAATATGCAAAACTGTAATATGCAAATATGTAAAGCTTTGTGAAAGAAGTCAGTGGAGCTCACTTTCGTCCAATGATTCAGGTTTTAAGATTAGGCTTCAAACTTTCCTTTTTGCTAAAGCATATAGTTAGGGCTGGATCAGGTGACCCTGAATCCTCCCTTAGTTATGCTGCAATAGGTCTAGGCTGCTGGGGAATTCCCATGATGCACCATGTATTTCTCCCTCAGTCACCTTTCTCACTCACTGTGTGTTAATAGACCTCTCTGCACTCAATCATACTTGTTATTATATCAGGCTCTCCTCCACAGCATGTCTTTATCCTGTCTTCCTTCTCTCTCCCCAACCGGTCGCAGCAGATGGCCCCGCCCCTCCCCGAGCCTGGTTCTGCTGGAGGTTTCTTCCTGTTAAAAGGGAGTTTTATGTCGCCAAAGTGATTGCTCATAAGGGGTCATATGATTGTTGGTCTACCTTACAAAATAAAGCGCCTTGAGGCGACTGTTGTTGTGATTTGGTGCTGTATAAATAAAATTGAATTGATACTGAGGTGAGATGTTGTGAATATCCTGAACTTTTCTGTCAGTGACTGTGAGCCGGCTTTTCTGAAGTATTGGACTCAGATACTTAGCGAATAAACTCTCATACAATGTGAGGATGTAATAGTCATTTACTGGCATTTAGACTCAGCTGACATAATTTCACCTTATAACCAGCTGTTGTTGTTTAGCTGGCTCGTTGTCAGCTGCATGTCTAATCTCCTGTTAGTTTTCAGTGAAGCTTTAGTGTTAGCTGTAACTAAAAAGTGGAAATGGAAATTGGGATTGCCTTGTAATGTAATGTAGAGCCTTCAGTTGGTCTGCAGCTGCAGGAACTTTGGATGCATTAAAAACAGCAGATGATGATTATAATGCACTGGCAGCTTACAGTTTATGTCTCTGGAGATTTCATGACAGGGCTTGAAAAAGGTCTCTGTTTAGCTGCTCGGCTGTAAAAAAGCTTTGATAAATGTTCGAGGCTAAGGTCAGATATTTGAAAAGAACTACAAGTGAACTCGAGATCAAGCCGGGGCTGTGACCGCTCAAGTGAATGATACTCTTGGGCTGTGTCTTGGTTACGTGGTGTACTGCTGTGCTTCGTGTTGCATGTGGTGCAGCGACTACTGTGACAAGCTCGTACCACCACACAAGTGTTACCGTGACCTCAACTTTCGCACCCTGAACGTTAACCAGACTTCAACCATAATATTTATGGTATGTTTAAAGAGCACAGTTGGTAACAGGTCAGTAACATGTCATGGGCTTTTTATAATGTTATCATTCTGGGAAATGCTGAATTGTTGAGAAGAGGAAGAATGAAGGTTTCTCAACTGTTGCTGTATTGTTTCATTGTTTCAGTATCCATAGCAACAGCTATCTGACATGACAGCAGAGCATCTTTTAATCATTGATTAAAGTCTTGACTTAAGTCTTTTTTTATGTGAAAGCATTAACTAGTGTGAGTTTTACACATATAAGCTTCTAATCCTCGAATACCATTGAAACCACCCTTATGGTGCACCGACAAACCCAGCGCAAGCAGCTTGGAGCAGATGTTGATGCTGTATTACTTCCTGTGTTTCACACTCTCACAGCCCTGCTGCAGACATCACACATGCAGAGACTTCACAGCCACATTCAGTTCAGCAAAACTGCTTTGTAGAAGTAGTGCCATGCAAAAAGACCTCCTGTATACGAAGGAGAGTTTACAGCCTTGACAGCAACTGTTTTTAATCCCACCCTCCCACGGCTTGGACATGTGCCACCGTGCTGAGTTGAAACACTGCTCGCCTGGCCCTTTTGTGTTTGACCCACCCTGCCCTGGATAAAATTGCATAATTACAGGATGATGACCAAGGTTTTTTGGCACAATTATGACAGCGTGCACACATCTTTGCTTGTTCAGCATTTCTTTTTTATAAATTTGCCAAATGCGTTGGATTTACAAATGCAAGTTTAAATGTAACAGGTCTGAACTTTACTGTTTGTTACTTGTCAGCTTGCAGCATCTCTAAGTTTACTTTATCTCTGCAGCTATGATGGCTCTACTTCAGGATTTCCTGGTTGAACTGATAAGACTGTGCGGTAATGTTTGCGGCAGCAATCACTGCCTTACCTTTTTCTTTCAAAACCCTTTTCAGAGCATCTGTCAGTCACACAGTAACACAAATCATAATCCTTTTGGACTCTATTGGGGAACCAACATTTACAAGTGAGCTTCCTGTTTTATAAACTAGCAGTTGAGTCCAAAAACCCATTGGGAAAGTGTTTACTGAAAGTACAGAGCAAGAGAACTGAGAGCTACTTTCCCATAGACTTCCAGCAGGCCATTAGATAGAATGGTTGGTGGCACTTCTGCACTAGCTTCACTTTTTAGCCTCACTTGCCATCTTTTTCCATTCACACTTGGCAACCAACCTGTACATCCTCAGTGTGACGTCAAAGAAAAGCAAACACTGATTGAAATGGTTTCTAACAGTGGATAGAGCACACTCCACCTGGAGCTGTATTAGCCTTAAAGATTTATGAACATAAAATTCAAGTATTTCCAGCCTGTTAAATCATTCTGAGATAGTTTATTTAAAATGGAGGATAGCTCAACACTATGAGAGCGACCTCTGCAAACTCCAAAAGCAAGAAAATTCTTGCAGAAGATGCAACGACACACCAGCTAATCAAAACAGGTTGAAGGAGGAGATACTATCAGCTAATGACTCTGCAGCGCTCGCTAGTTAGACTCCATATCACAGGAAGAGCAAACAGTAGATGGAAATTACTGATTTGGTGAAAAAGCAGGGTTAGCTGGTTTAAAAGCTCGACCCAAGATAAAACATCTCACTTTTTTGAGTTTTGTTGCATGACAGTATTGTGCAGGTCCTGATGAGTTATAAGGTTAAGTTACTTTATTCTTTGTCTTGATGCATGCTCAATCATCCAGGTAATTAAATCCCAAAAGTTGATTCTGTTTATCTGGACGTAGCGTTTTGTGGGAGAAACGTTTCGTCTCTCATCCAAGTGATGTCTTCAGTCTCAGCTGACTGCAGGTTTCCAACCTTATAAACAGTACATTTGCATAATGACTGAAACCAGCCCACTGAAGGAACAATGGGCTGGGAGGTCAGTTCCTTAATCTTAATTATGCAAATTCTCATGACCACTGACCAAAACCCACTGACCAAAGACCATGAGTCCCATTCACAGAGAGTTGGGGAATGACTGCAATCACAGCATTGTAAGATGGCGAAAGATGTACCCTTAGGCCCCCTCCTCGTTTCAGAGATGGTCTTTCCCTTTTCACGTAAATGGCCTCCTTGACTCCGCCCTCAAACCAGCGTTCCTCCCTGTCCAGGATTGATCAGTGGGCTGATTTCAGTCATTATGCAAATGTACTGTTTATAAGATTGGGGAAACCTGCAGTCAGCTGAGACTGAAGACGTCACTTGGATGAGAGACGAAACGTTTCTCCCACAAAACGCTGCGTCCTGATGAACAGAATCAACTTTTTGGAGATTTACTAACCTGGATGATTGAGCATGCATCAAGATATGCAAATTAATCTTGTGAAATTTGGCACCAGGTTATAAGAGCAAACCCAAATGTTAATGCACGAAGCAGAAAACACTCAGAATGTCTTTATTGTTATGAACACATAAGTAGATTAAGTTGGGAGCTTCATGCAAATAAAGATTCAAAATTGCTCATTATAATTTTTATAAAACCAAAAACCAACAAAAACCAGAGGTGATTCTCATCCCTTTAACTATTAAACCAATGTTTAGCCACAAAGAACTCACTTAAATATATGCAGAGTCACCAGCGTTGTCAAAGTAGAGTAAAACTCTTCTTTATTCTTGCCTCTTTCCTCCGCTGTGTGACCTTGTCTATGGGCAGCAGGGAGGAGAAAGAGGTGGCATGAAAGATGAGCCTCCTAACGGTCAAACTCTTCTTTTTTATGTTCTCCGTACATACATAGAATTGTAATTATTGGTTTAATTACCTCTTTGTCGTTACATCAAGGGCACATTTTACACACTTCGTTCATTGTGGTCAGACCGACTTACTGAGGGGTGAGAGGGGCCAAGGGCTATAGGTTCACACCCACCTTGGAAAATTTATGTGTCGTTTTTGGCAATTACCAACTCTTAATTAGTTTTAATGAGACAAAGACAGTAGAACAAGCACTCGCACCTTATTCCATCTTTCTCTGCACTTCTTGTAGAGCTCGTCTGTGTAACGAAAGGTTGCAGAAGTGGGCCTGTCAGACATCGGAGAACTCCCGCGTTACTAAACTGCACAAATTAACTGGATTAAGTTAAACTGCATTCTGTTGCTTCAACCTCTACCTGGTAACTTCCTGTTAAATTTCAGATCTGTTGGCCAAGTACATTTGTAGAGAGGCAAGCCTCGTGTGAACGTTTGAGGATTCTAACAGCTGAAGTGGCTGCTGTAGTACACAGACTTTGCACAATTATCCAGCATGTGGCTGGTGTTAAATGTCCAACTGTGGTTGTGGTACAAAGCACAAATACTGTACAGTATTTTACTCCCCAGCACACAATCTGCTGCAACTGATGAGCTGTGAGCTGACTGTTGTTTTCTTGTTTTCAGGTCTGGAAGCGTTGCTAATGACTGGCGTGAGATATATTCCTTTGTGAAGAACCTTACTGACCGGTTTGTGAGGCAAGTATGATATTTTCCTGCTTTCTCATATCTCACGGATGTTTAAAAAGAAAGAGGAATAAGTTGGGGAAAATGAAAGAAGGCCTTTTCTTCTGTTTTACATCTGTTTGACATCAGCATGGCGGTTTTATGGGATAAATGTCTATCACTCAAGCGCTCACACCGTTACTTCCAGCCAGTTGCACAGATTTAAATGACTTCCCACCTGTTTTACAAACTATCATTGTGCAGAATCTACGGCATCCGTCTTGCACATAATTCATTAAAAAGACAAAACGGCAGAAACCGGCTTGAAACGTTCAGCTTGCATAACGTTTGAGTCAAACGGCGCCTGCCAGCACAGTACAGACGGTAGCGACCCAGCCAGAATGAAGTGGTTGGTTGAAGAAAATAGCAAAGGCACCAGGTGGGAGTGGGTGGCAGAGAGGAGCAGTCTTCTGGGCTGTGAGAATGGCCATTTGCACCAGGGGGGGTCCGGCTCCACACTTATCCCCTGCTTCCACCACAGAACGGCTGACAGGCAGACAATGTACAGTAAAGCAAAAGAACACTGGAAGGCGATGAGGACAATCTGCTAAACAATGCTCGCTCACCAAGAGCACTTCTGTTCCGCCATGTGGAGCAAACTGGACTACTTCATCACCCCCCTCTCCACCATTCTCAAAGAAAAAAAAACCCAACACCACCCTCTGATTTGTCCTTGGCATCAACTGCGTCTTTATCCCAAGTCTTTCTTAGAAATAAGAAAAGATCCCAGTACTGCTAAAGAGGTAACAAATAACATCTTAAGCTCCAGTTAAAACCTAAAGTTCGACGTTAAGTCACCACCCACGATTTCTCATCCGTGACTTGCGTGCGGTTAGTTTTTAGTCCACATATGAGTCCCGAAACTTGCAGACAGGATGTGGATGTATACGGCTGCTACCGCTCCCTGCCAAATCTGGCCGTGTGGCTTAAAGATTGTGCTATTTTTGCGGGGGAGGATCGCGACTGGGCCATGTGTCATGTGGGTGAGAAATATCAGCACCTCTCCTTATGCTCTGAAGGCTTCGGATCTCTGAAGGAAACACTTAATTATCTGAAGTTTAACTCGCTCTGTGGGATGGCATCCGTGTGCTTTCTGTCTGTAGCAGAGGTGTGAAGTAACCGAGTGCATGTAATCGAGTATTCACCAGAGTATTGTTTAAGCGACGCAGAAGTATCTTTACTTTAGTTACTTATAGCATCCTGTGATTTCATGGTTACACGATGTTTTTCACCCTAAATTGTGTCGCTGATTGGAATCCACATATGACGAGGACGACCGCGTCGCTGTTACCTTTATGATTGCGCAGGATAAAAACTTTAAGGTCAAGCTTGCAGTGTAAGAGGATTCTGTCTTTCAGTTGACTTGGACGCTTCGCAGTTTGTCTGTGGTCTGGTCTTTTTTACACCATCAAACACTTGATGCTCGAAAAGTTAAACCGTAGGACACCAGCCTCACGCTGACACGTCTATTTTTCCAGCACTTCTTTATTCTAATTTAACAGGAAAATGTGTTACAGTGAACGCCACCTTTAGCATGAAAGTCTCTCAATGCGGTCACTTCTCAAACCCACTTCCTTGTAATCATATTTTTAGGTGGCTGTTGGCAGAAATATTTGTTTCATCACTAGTATTTTTAAAATAAAAAATCCCTTGTAGATGTTCTCTAAAGGTTTAGTGTATATTTAATTTGCCTGCTCAATATTTCGTGCTCCTTTTAACCGACGACCCATCACGCCCTTGTGATTGATTTCGGTATTCTAGTGAGGACGAGTGAAAGTGTGTCACGCCCTGCTGCTGGTTACTTAGAGCTTCTTTGGATTTTAGTTTGTTAACTGAATTTTATAGTGAAACCTTACTGAAGAAATGCACTTGTAGTTTATGTTGGCTTAAATAAAAGTATTGAGAAATCATTGTTTTATAATATTAAAACTAAATAATTCCCCCAGTACTCATCAGATCTTGTCATTTTTTAAATCCAGCTTAGTCAGAGCTTATATCTATATATGAAAATGTGTAATTTTATATATTCTATTTCATTCATTTCTCATTTTATGTCTTTTATTACAGTTCTAATGTAATTTTATTACCCCCAGTTTTGGGGAATGTCACCATAGCCATGTCTTCGTCCCTGCGTCGGTGTGTACAGGACTCAGAAACCAGCCATGTTTGTTTAAAAAAATAAATTATTAATAATTCATGAGGCGGCGAGCGAGTGCTCGGAGATGACAGAGCGGTACTGAATGTAAACAGCGCTGGCTGTACTGCGAACACTTGACGCCACACTGTTTGGTCAGACACACATCAAAGTGTCCAACGTGTCGTTTAACACCCTTAAAAAGTCACAGGTACAAAATATATAGATTCTATACTATATTTGCGCCTGTGTATGTGTGCGCGTGTGTGTTTGTGTTTGTTCGTGTGTTTATGCGTGACTCATTACCACAACATGTTTCCTGTCTTATTAATCACTTCCTCAGTCCCACAGAAGCTGCTTTAAGTCATCCACTAATATTAGTTGACATTAAAAGAGCCCCTTCTGTTTGGTTCATTATTAATGCGTCTTTAATTCCCTTTAACTGAACTGAACTGATGTAAAAGCTTTATATAACACTGTCTGTCACACTGACACATTCCCAGCTAGTCTGAGAACTTCACGTGTTTGATTGTGGCCGCGATGGTTTGGTAAAGACGACAAAGGACAGAAGTGCAGATTTTTGTACAGGATAATAAAACGTGTCATATTACAGGGTTTTTTTTAGTTGTTATTATTTAAAACAAGCAACTAAATGAGACATTTAGAGTATTGCTTCTGTTTGTTTATTTAAAACGAATCCATGTCCTTCTGTTTTTCAGTCCGAGAATGAGAGTCTCATTCATCGTTTTCTCTGCCCAAGCCAAAGTCCTGCTGCCTCTGACTGGAGAAAGGTACCAGAGTGAACCCTAAATGGCACACAGACATGTATATGCAAATACACATACACTGTACTCACTAAATACACACACACACACACACACACACACACACACACACATATATATATATATATATATATATGTTAGGGGTGCAACGATACTCGTATCGATATTGAACCGTTCATACAGTGCTTTCGGTTCGGTACGCATATGTAGCGAACAATACAAAATGTTTAATTTATTTTATCAACTTTTCTTCTGATGATGATGCTGTCTGTGTTGAGAGCTCAGTGAATCTGCGTTCGACTACTCTGCCTAGGCTGCACTGTCGAGCGCAGATCCACTGAGAGCAGCACAAGCTAGCAAGACAGAAGCTAAGCTCATTGCAACATGGCAAATTGAACCTCCCCCACCCTCATTCAGATCTGGCCTTTGGAACTATTTTGGTCTTCATGTGAGGTATGACCCTGAAGGTAAGCGCGTCATGGACTAAAGTAAAACAGTATGTCAGATGTGCCACGCAATGCTCAATTACATGGGTGGGAACTAGTGCGTTAGCGCAGTTAGCTCAGTTAGCTCGTTAACGTGTTGACGCCGTCCAGCCCCATACACGGGGCGATCCGTGGTAGCTCGTTAACGGAGATTTGCCGTGTTGTGGCGTTAACAATTAACGCTGACAGCACTAGTGGGAACACAACGAATATGACTGCACATTTACTCCGACATCATCCTAGTGCAAAGACAAGTGGAAGCAGACAAAAACAACAAGCATGCATGCTACAAACTTCACCGAGTCATTTAGACAGCTGTTAGCACCTGATTCTCCTTATGGGGACCTGATATGTTTAATATGCTGCTGAGAATATAGCCCAGAAGAAGCTATAGTATAGCTTTTATTTTGGAAAGAGACATTTCTCTGTAATAAACTCTCTTTTCCAAAGATGAGTGATTTCTCGATCAGATTTATTATTTTATTACTTTGTTGTTTCAGCAACATTAAATTTAAAAACTGTACGTTTGAGTTAAAATCTATATTTATAATTTTAATAAATGACAAATTTAAAAAGGCATGAAAATTTTTTTGTATCGAAAAAATATCGAACCGTGACACCAAAGTATCGAACCGAACCGTGAATTTTGTGTATCGTTGCACCCCTAATATATATGTATATATATGTATATGCACATGTAAATACATATATAAGGTGCATTATGCATGAAGTGGTAACTGTAACTTCATGCATAACTGCTTCTTTTTTAATTAAAATTGCAGAAGGGTTTTATATATTAATGTTGGAATTGAGTATTTTCACATTTTCATCATCCTAAAAAGCTTAAATGTGAGGATCAATGATCTGCATGATAACTACTGATTTAACATTCTCACCCAAGAAAAGGAAAATGTTTATTTACTTGATCTGAATTCCAATTCTTTAAATTAATATTAAATACTTTGACAAATAATAATAAAAGCATTTTTAAGTGTCTTTTATTTTTTGGTTTTTACCACTTTAGGGTATAAATAATTTGGCAAGTGGTTTACTGTCGTATTTTTATCTGCACTGTCATCAAAACCATATCTAAATTTAGCACTATTTTTAAAAAATGACATAAATAACACTTTAGACAAAAGTGTGATGTGTCTTATTTCTGGAAAGTGAAACTTTTTAATACTTATTAATATCAGATTAAGAAAACAGGGGATGCACAGATGACGTGAAAAGACACTGGCATCTGCACCGGAAACATTTTGGAACATGGCTGATGCTGAGAGTTGTTATTATGAAGAATAAAATAAGTGGTTTTTAAAGATGTTGGAAATGTCTTTGTTATCTTTGAACATTAAGCCAAACAGCAAAACTGATGCGAAGAACAAGAACAGTAGCGTAACTGTAATGATGATATTGCAGTCAACAAAGCCGATGTTGGTCAGAATAGTGAGTGTCATCATGTAGCTGCTGTAAAGACATTTTACACATCAGTGCTGCCAGAGAACACGCTGAAATGTGATTCGGTGTCAACACGTGGTGTGAGCCGCTAAGCGTTTCTTTATATCGTCAACATTTTTAGACACGAGATTGAAGAAGGTCTGCGGCTTCTGAAAGATGTGACTCCAGCAGGTGAAACGTATATGCACAAGGGAATCGAACAGGTTAGTTTTCTCTCCTTTTACTTTGTAAAGTAATCGTAAAACACAAATCTGATAAAATGCTCGTCACCAATCTGGTCTTGCAGGCCAACGAGCAGATAAAGCAACAGTCGCTCAAGTCCTCCAGCATCATCCTGGCTCTGACAGACGGGAAGCTTGCAGTTTATGTTCACGAACTGACTGTAAAGCAGGTGATTTTCATTCTGACCACAGCTCTAAATGTAGCTTATCTCCCCCCTTCCCTTGCTTTCTTACCTCAGCGTAGTTTAAAATTAAACTCTGCATTTTTCCTCATTCAGAAAATAAAAACCTTTTTTTTAACTTATTCATTTGCAGAAGTATCAGTTCATCTGTTTATTTGCACTCTGTTTCATGATGTTTTTTCTTTTTTTAAATTTCAACCTGTTGCACATCATCCACGCATTTATTTGAACTGCAGGCTGACGAAGCGAGGAAATATGGCGCTCGTGTTTACTGTGTGGGTATCAAAGACTTTGATGAGCAGCAGGTAAGAGGGCTTTAGTCTTAATCTAAACATAAGACGAGTCTGTCGCTGAATGTGTGCTCAGTGATTCCGGTTCTGGTGTAAGACACATTGGCGTGTTGGAAGAGTGTCAGGAAAAGGTAAACATCATCAGTGCTTTTACCTGTGCGGAAAAACCAAGTGAAGTAGTAGGACACCCAAACATGTTCTCGCTGTCAAACTTTCACCTTTTAAAGGCTTGAAGGTGGTCGGAAAAAATAATAATAATTTACATTAAAGCAGAGAACAGAGTCTTCGTGACCTAAAGCTTGAGTTCATGCCGGGAACACCGGATGTACAGTTGAGGGAACATATGAAGTCTTTGGAATTTCCAGGATTTCTGCATCGATTACTCTTAAAATGTTGTTGATTCTTCTTCTGTTATTATAGACAAACACCAGCTGAAAATACTTCTAACATGTAAATAGTTGTGCTTTCTCTGCCTTTCTGAATGCTTCATATAACTACTTGATGATGTGGAGGAGCTTTGGACCTGGAGCCATATTTCTGGGATGTCTTCATCCCTGTCAGCTCGATCAAATTGTAAATTCAGTGTTTACACATCGATTTCAAGGAGCAGGAGGACGCAGCAAAGCAAAACCAAACCATGATGCTGCCTCTGTCATGCAGAGCGCACTTCCTTTAGTCCTCCACTGTACAGGAAAGCCCAGCTTTAGTCTCATTTGTTGAAACTTGAGATGCTGCAGTATTTATTTGCAAAGCTTCCTTTGGTCTGTGTCAGTTACTGCAGACACAACCCCTCGGTTCATGACTGAGCTTATAGTGTTTGGTTTGTTCAGGATCGCCACTGCTAACAGCTGCAGTGTCGCTGGATTTCTTCCATTTGTAGACACTTTATGTTTGTATTAATAAACACTCGCTTCATTAGAAATTCCTCTGTAGACTTTTCCAGCTTCTCGCGTCTCTGTGGTGCTTTTGTGAAAGCTGCTGTAATCAAAGCTTAGTTTATGCCACCCAGCTATTCTCAAGAAAAGTAACCAGACTTTGTATGCCTGTGATTATTAGGAACACCTCAGTCCAAGCAGCTTGTGGAGAACTTGTAAGCATAAAGGTTCACCTTTTTTTCCAGCCTGCAGCATGTTATTGTGAATTAGATTAAAAAAAAAAAAAAACCCAAACAATTCATGAATAATCTGTGCAGAAATCCGTCTAATCCAAAGCTTTTTTCTTGCACCCGTACGTGTGACCAGTTCTCTCACCTTAAATCACTCTCGCTTTTCAGGTGTTGATCTTAACCCTACAATGCCATTTGTAGCATATTTGATAGATGAGTTTCTGAGACCTGTATCTCATCAAAATGATCAATACTTTCCATTATCTTAAAATGTTATGGACAAAACTCTTTTTTTGTTTTGTTTGTTTTTTTAAAATTAACATTGACAACAAAAAGTTGCCAAAAACGCCCAAAATATCAAATGTAATACAAAAAACATATAATAAAAATATATCATACAGAGCACGATATAACAAAAAAAAATTTGGATTTTGTTATAATCTCATTTCCAAAAAATCTGAATTTTCTGCCTGTTTTTTGTTGCTTTGGGTCTTACAGGGTAATATTAGTTTCATTCCCAGTGGTCGGTCATTATTTTCCCAAAATAAGTTGGAATACTGTACATGACTTTCTAGGACATGATATTTAAACATTTACTCTTTTTTTTAGATCGCATGATCAGTTATTACTTTTCATACTTTTTATTTTTGGACAAGCTTCCTTTTGAAATGGAATGAGAGGGTGCATAAAGAGGGTGCACGCTAATATTTTTGGCTCATCGTGTGTTTGTTTTTCACAACATTAAAGAATGCGTGGAAATTTAAACCACTCTGAACTTTAAAATAACATTAAATTGAGGTTAATTACATTACAAATACTTGATACTAGCGATATGACCAGAAACTAAACTAATACACAGTAAATGAACGTGTGATCATACAGGAATAGTTAAAGTGTGTTTATACTATTAAGCCAGAATAGCAAATTCTTAAAGGTTGATTTAGCGTGTCGCCGGATATTATATTAAGCAGTACAGAGACCACAGGAGTGTAACTATTAAGGCTTACTGTGAGCTTTTGTTGTCATTAGAAACTGTGGAGTAAAAGCACCATTTCTGTTGGCTGTGAAATCGGTTATTGGCTCCTCACACCGTTCACACTATTTTTATTGTATTTATTATTTGTCTCCGTAGCAAATGATGAGTTTGTGCTCATATCGTAAAGTGACGTCAAGAATTTCTTCCCTCTAATGTCACCGATGCTCAGTGCTGTCTGCATTTTTACTGTCACTCTTCCAACATGGTGGCCTGTCCCTTGTAACCATTGGTAACCGATCCTTTGATGAGAACTTAAGTCAAAAACAATGGCAATGTTGCTCCCAATTTGTGCTGCAATTTTTTTTTTTATAGTTGAGCAAAGTGTTTGCCACAGTCATGCCATCTGTTTGTCTCCTCCTGCCCATAATATGAAGGGAAAGACAGAGCTCAGTCATAAAGAGAAAAAGAAGAAAGCCGTGTTAAATCAGCACTGCTCCCTGTTTACTCCATTCTTTCGTGATACCAACAGCTTGCTGAAATTGCGGACACCAAAGACCATGTGTTTCCTGTCAAAGATGGCTTCCACGCTCTCAAAGGCATTATCAACTCTGTAAGTTTGCCTGACGTCTCTTTTTTTGTGTCTTCGTGAGGTAGCTTTGTCGTTCGTGCTGTAGACTAACAAGCTGTGGGTTTCAGCTGAACCTCTCTTCTCCGTATGCAGGCACAGCTCAGCTGCTAACATAGTGCACGCTGTTTGTCAATTCAGCAATTGAGTAAAGTTGTTTCCTTTGGCTTCGTTGGCATTTCTCACAAATTAGAGCAAAACCTCAGTGGACTTCCTGCTAAGCTGTTTGGAAAATGTCTGTGGAAATAACTGGTCGTTGTGTCCTCTTTTTGCACACAAAGACGGAAATGTCTTAGTCACTCTGTCGCAAATTACACGCTGTGATGGGAACAAGTAGTCACTGTCCATATAGCATCCGCTTCACGCTGTGTTTTTTATTGTGTCACAAGGCGCGAGTGCAGCAGCAGGGCTTCAGTAGAGCTAATTCTCATTTTTTAGATGATTTTTCAAAATAAAAGCTGGTGTAAGCCACCAGTGCGACACAGAAATCAGCGAGTCGCCCTCAGAGAGCGAGAGTCCCTTAAACAGTGTTTAAATAACGTTCACAAACAGCCGCCTCATCCTCTGCCAGCCAGTTAGTTATACTTTCCATGTGCTGCAGCTTTTAGCCTGAATGCTGTCAGCCAAGGTGGGGGTTTGTATGGCAACATTTTCACACGAGTCTGAGCCCAGAGTCCTGCAGAGCACTCTGACCCGAGCTGGACTTACATGAGCTGAAAAAGAGCAGAGCTAAATGTTGCTGTCAGACATGCAGCTGGAAGCACACAAAGTCAAAGGGTGCGACTTGTTTCTGTGTGATGCAAAGAACCACGAGCTATGATTGATGGCTCTACTTTTAAAACGACTGTGATGTACAGGAAAGTGCTGCTTTCTACCTTTGTCTTGTGAATGCAAAAATAAACAGGTAATACGGAGATACTTCATGCCAGTTCTTTATAAATGTGTTAATTTTATAGTTTATTTAGACACAGAAACATGTAAAGCTTTTAATCTAAGCACTGCAGCTGCTGTTAGCAGAGTCTCGCTCGTGCATGTGCAGCCACGATTCATTGAAAGCAGCTGTAATTGTTGTTGAACTATTGTGTGTGTGTGAGTAACCACAAAGATGAAAATGTTCTCATGTGTAAGTCCAAGAATACTGTCAACTGTCAGAAGTACAGACACCCAGTTTGTAACAGTTAAGATCAGAAGATAAAAGACTTTGGGGTGAATGGTGAACATGATTACTGATATTTTGAAGAAAATGCTTCAGTCTGTTTATTCTATCAGAAAGAGAGCTTTGTTCACAGGGCACTCTTGCCACTAAAGGCACATGTGCGTGTTTTTTGTGGTCTCGAGACACTCCAACCGTTATCCAAAGCGTCTGAAAGCCTGTCCGAGAAAGTCCAGGACAACAACAAAAAAGCTCGTCCCCTCAGAAGAGGAGCTGAGTGCAGTGACGCTTCCAGCATCCAAATGAAACGAGGAGCATTCCTCTCTGATTACTAATACTGGATTCCTGACTAGTTGGCCTTCTTGCTTCACTGTTGGATTTTGAGGATTTGAGATCATCTGTGCAGCCTTTTGCTGCAGGATCCACCCCGCCTCTGTGACCAGCATGACAAAACTCGCAGGAAAAAGCTCAGCAAAGTTGGGTTTCTGCACCCTCGTTTATTTCTTCTGCACTGGCCCTTTGTTGTCTGAGCTGCAGGCCTTTTGGGAAAGCCCCAAATTCAACTGCTATCAGTAACTTCCTTTGCTACTGGACTGTTAAACTCTGCACCATTAGTTGTTATCTTGTGGCACTTTACTGCAAAATAATGCATATGACAAAGAGTTCATTGCCATATGAACCTTTCCACTTAATTATTTCCAGAAAGTGATTAGACTAGCCTCATCCTTGCAGAAACCCCCGCCAGTTACAACACTGGCTGAGATATTTGGATGACTTTGGGTATTTGGACGTCTGCCTCCTTTTCCCTCTGCAGCCCGTAAATAATGTTTGTCACTAGATCCCAGAGAAATGAATAGCTGCTGTTTGAGTTGAAGCAAATGGAGGCCTCTAATCTCAGCATTCAAAGCTTATATTTTAATATCTTCAAAACACAGAGGATGTAGTTTGTGGATCCTGTAACCCAAACAATTTACCAAATTTTCTTTAAGAGTGAATTTTTTCTGTATGTGTGAGATGGAATTTCTTCAAGTGGAAAATTTCACTAGATGGAAAAACAGTGTAATTCCTGAGGTCCTCCCATTATTTCAAGCTTAGGGAGGCAAACAGTCAGTTGTTTTTTTTTTTATTTCCCCCTTTTTTTTCTTTCTCTATCGCACTGCCAACGAAGTAATTAGACCGGGAAAATAGTGGCACAGAGGAACAGCAGCAGATCCTTTTCCCTCCCAGCTGTCATCTACAACCCTCTCCCCTTTTAACAATTCCATATCAAACCGTCATATTTAATAAGGCTGCTGTAAACACTTCCGTCTTCCTCTTCTCAGATTGAAGTTTAACCCAACATCAAATGAAAGGTTCAAGTGTCCTATATTGCAGTTAATATGCTTCTTTTTACTGACTGTGTACTGGGATTTGCATAGTTTGTCCTTTGTTGATTTATTGAATCATAGCCGATAGTGCGGCTCCATGACAGTGGGCTCACACAGGCTCTTTATATGGTAATGCAGGATCCCCGAGGTTTTTAATCGAAGTGAGGAACAGTAATAGTCTTGCATAATTTTCCCATAAAAGCTGACACAGCTGCTGTTCTACCTCCTGTTCTCCTCACCGCTGATATTCAGCGCTCTCCTTTAGCCTGCAGGTCCAGAGGAGCAAGACATTTCTCAGGTGTTGCACTCTAATCTGTTTTCTAAACTTGACAGAGTCGATAACGGCCAGGACTTGATGTATTTATTCTCAGCCCTCAAGCAGTAATGTTTGCATTTCATGTCCCCTTCCCCTCTTATCCTCAAGATATTAAAGAGATCGTGCACAGAGATCCTGAGCGTGGAGCCCTCCAGTGTCTGTGTGAATCGTAAGTAAATCCCGATCAAGTTTTTGGAACTCAAGTCGATTTATCCTCCACAGGAATCTTTTTGTTTTTACATGTGCTGAATGAAACAATGACATCCTTCCAATTGTGTCGAGCCTGCTCACAGACAAGTAAAACTTTAATGTTGGTAGAGCAAAGTCATATGAGAGGCCATCAGAAGAAAGGCGAAGACTTTTAAAATTCCTCCTCCGAGCTTGTCTGCTGTTTGTTTATATTCCACAGAGTCCTTTGATATCGTCCTCAGAGGGAACGGCTTTGCCCTCGGACGCAGCAATGAGGGCGTCGTCTGCAGCTTCATAGTTGGCCAGCAAACCTTCAGTAAGTGGAGAAAACCCAGAGTAAAAGCTTTATATACATACACCATGTAGTCGTTTAATGTCATAACTCTCTGTGTTCCTTCGGGTGGACTTAAGTGGACTGGTCTGTGCTGTAAACTGATGGTGAGCATGCAGGATTCAACTCTGCACAGTTATTGATTAATAATTTGAAATGACTCTTAAATATACAACACGGGTACCAATCATAGGACAGTAACTCCCCGTTAATGAACTGCTGAAGCCACATTGTCCAATATAATCATGATTACCAGTGACCAGAATGTCCTGACGAGCTCATTACATCCTGCACAACCGAGCAATCGTTGCAGCTAAGCTGTCAAATGATCATTGGCCCAGTCCTGTTATTCACGCAACACATTCACATCTAAAACTTTTGCAAGTATTTGCTCAGATTTGTATTTTTACAGTGTCGTAAGTTTAAATTTCGCTCATGGCTTTAAAAAAACTACCAGGGAAGTCGAAAATCATAAAGAGGAAGTCGGCATGCCCGCAAAGGAATTTTTTATGAAGACAATATCATGTGGCTGTCTACCACAATCTGTCCATCCAGTCTTTTTTGTACAGAAATATTTTCTTTGCATGACCCGTATTTCTTTGCTCCTTCCAGTAAATATGTTTCCCAATCTTCTGACTAAAGGGTTCCAAATTAAATTGAGTTGAATCTTCCCGTTGCTCACACGGCAGGACCATGTTTTCACGTCACGTCTCCTGAAATGTCATCTTTATTTATATGCTGACAAACAGTGTTGGTCAAATTGCTTGAAAAAAGTAATTAGTAACTAATTACTGATTACTTCTCTAAAAAAGTAATCCCATTACTTCACTGATTACTTGTTTTCAAAGTAATTAGTTACTTAGTTACTTTTTGAAAACATGATACACAACCTGAGTGTGTCATAAAGCAATAGACTTTTCAGCCCAGTTCTATTTTTTCACATCATAAAACTGTAATCACATGAAAAAGCCTCTTTTTAAAAATTGTTTTTTTTAGTTTAAATCTTTTAATTTTATGCACATTGCATTAAGCAAAAATTAAATTATATGCAACAGTCTTTGACCTGAAGACATTCTTTAACATTTAACCCTATTTTCTGCATATTCCAGCATATAAAGTAAAATATTTTTTTGTGTTTAAACTCTTTCAAATAGTTGCAAGTAAAACAGCAGAAAATAAATAAAATCAAAGTCCTGTCGCTCTGAAATCTATTGTCACCTGTTTATCAGGAGTGGGGTGAGTGGAGGTTTGCCCGGCGCCACAGCGGTGATGTCAGTGGGGGGATCCGGGGGTTTTTCTGTGAAGTTCACATTCCCGTGGCAGCGTGCTCGATGTTTAGTTTAGGGGTTTTTTCGCTGTAAAAAGAAGTTTTCTTCCCACACAGAGTGTACAGCGGACGCTAATGTCTTTGTCACTTTTTACGGAATCAAAACTCAAAGTAATGTGATTACTTCCACGCTTTAAATGCGGCATGTTCGTTCTCTCTCCCACACTACATATTATCCATTGTTGAGCTACACACATCCGTTACCACGAATGTCGCTACAAACAAAATCACAGTTTAGTAACGCAGTAACGTAGCGTGCTTACAGGAAAGTAACAGTAATCTAATTACTTTTTTTGCAATAGTAATCCCTTATTACTCATTACTTGAAAAAGTAATCAGATAACAGTAACAATAACAGGACTTTATATTGCAGAGTAAAAACCAGTACGTGATGGGGAAAAACTCCAACAATAATATGAACCCTTATGGACAAGCACTTGGCGACAGTGGGAAGGAGAAACTCCCTTTTAACAGGAAGAAACCTCCAGCAGAACTGGGTTTAGAGACGGGCTTCCATCTGTTGTTAGAGGGGAAAGAGAAGAGAGCAGAGGCAGATGGGACAAAAGGCGCACATGGGAAAGAACAAAGCAACCACCAAACCTTAGAATATGCACTGTGGACATTTTTCCTCCCAAAATTTGGAAAATAACCCAAAACTTGCAATAATAATTGCAGACTAACCCAAAATCTCAGCAATGCCCTAAAAGCAAACAGTAAGTGTTCCATCTGCACTGATCTCAGCAAATTGTGGTTAACGTTTTTGTACGCTGCATCCTGAAATAGCTGTCTGCACTCTGATTAAAGGTTTCCCCAGAGCCACACCCGCAGTAACAGACACTCCACCCTCTTTCTCCACTGCTATGAATGGATCTTATGTGTGTTCATTTATAGTGGAAAACCTATGAGGATTTATTGTCTTTTAAGGACGTAACGTGAGCGACACAGACATGGAATACAGTATGTGTTGGAAAATCTTCATCTCGCTGAGAGGTCGGAAATGGCAAAACAAACCCGGCCCGGACATGTCTGTTATCTCACTCATCTCAATGATCTGAATTCAACAGAAGGAAGGGGGGGATGTACAGTAGGTCACCGCGCTCCTTATTTTGTGCTTGCAGTCTGTTCTGATAAGAAATCCTTTTTTTAGGAAGCAAACGGGATTTGGCACCTAGAGCCAATCTTTTAAAGCTCTCATTTGGCCGTGGGATCTGTGGGATCGGTGACTGCCAATGACAACACTTCCATCCTTGTCAAGTTATTTTTGATTTTCAACATTTCAACTTGACTAAAATACTTGGAACATATTTTTTCCCTTTAAAAAATAAATTCATCTGATTTAGGAAGCGGCCATTAGCAGATGTCTTCCTGTTAGTCCTTTCTCAGTTTAGGCTGTCTCACATTCGCCCACTTGGGGCTATTTATTCCCTTACTGGCTTTTGCATGTGTTCAGTCCAGACCTTTTTAACAGTGGGGCACCTTATAATTATGGACAAGCATCATGGCAGCTATGGAACACAGCACATATGTGAAGCAGATGCTTCACTCAAACCAGTTGGATCCCTCTGTAGAAAAGGAGGAACAAGTTTCAATCATCAGAGTGACCTCTGTGACCGGAGACGCTTCAGGTTTTTGTCAACCTGTGCTGATGAACGCTCTCAGATTATAATCCAATCATTTATTTTATTTTGTGCCCAATCGAGTCCCAGTTCCAAAATCTCATAGGATAAAACATCCTGAGCGTAGAAGAAATGTTCATTAACACAAGTCAGTTAAAATGTGACAATATCACTGATTTTTATTCAAATGGGAAAGATACAGGTCTATTTAACCTCCTAGGACCTGGCGTCCACATATGTGGACATCACATTTTGGGTTATTTAGACCAAAATACTCAATTTTGCTCTACAAGGGCCTGATATCCACTTACGAGGACGTTATACTGCTACTGTTCTATCGAAATTTTAAACGAATATCCTCATATGTGGCTCTCATTTTTCTTAAAAACAAAAATAAGGTAAAAATAAATCTGGTAATTCTTTGATTTTACATTCATTGGGCCCCAATCAGCCCAAATATCAAAGAGAAATTAAAAATGCATGCTGTGGAAGAGTTCGGGTCTTAGGAGGATAACGCAGAGGCTCACAGAAGGCTGTTGGTTGCCTGAGAACCCCAGAACTGGCAGGTTCACCATGAGCGGAGGTCATCCTGTGGGGCTCTGGCAGCGCTGCTTTTGTTCCTCCTCTCACAAAGCAGCAGATACCTGTCTTACTGTTGGATTGATGCTGCCCCTCTCCAGCTCTCCTTACGTAACTACTGCTCTGCTGCACACTGTTGAGACTATACTGGGCGAGACCGCAAACCCAACCTGTACTGGACGCAGTTACCGTCTTGTGTCACCAGTAGACCAGAACTAGAGAACAATCGGTAAGGAAGGTGAGGAGAGAGCAATGGTCTGTGTCCACCACCATCAAAAATGTTGTCATGCTTTTGGTCCTCCAGTGGACCTGTTGTGTTTTAAATCACACCAGAGCAGGTGAAATGGATTCGTGATGGTTTACACTTTCTAACGGGACAGTTTAGTTTAACTGGCTTTGTGTTACACCGTGGTGATCGAGGGTTTCCTTCATGTTTGACTGTGTAGACAGAACAAGCACAGATACATAAACAGATACTGTGTTACAATGCGTAATCCGTACTTACCTCATTAAACAATCTGCAAAGTTAATAATAAAACTTTTTTTTTATTTCTTCCAGCTGAGAAGCCGAGCACGGTGCGTAATGACTATCTGCTGTGTCCCGCCCCGAAGCTCTATGAAGTCGGACAGTAAGTAGGACGTTGTTTTATTGTCGTATATGGAGAAGCCGTCACAAACAGTGGAATCTCTGCTAACAGTGATGCTAAAATATCAGAGAAAGCTTTATGTGATATAGTATAATGCATCATAGTGTTGTAACTGTTCTATTTAAATCTTTTTGTTCGAGTCATGAAGAAGAAAGATCAATTTTACTGAGTGTAATTATTTTATTGTAATCGTGAATTGAAAATCAGATTCATCACCTACCATGACAGGTGACATATGTGTCAGTCATGTGTGCAGTGTTGTCCACAGCTGTGGCTTTGATGTTTTTATTACACACTTTCTTTATCGAAACAGCGTTTTAACTTTTGGCTCACTCACTTCAGAAAGGTTGAAGGGTTTTTTCTTACATCTCTTCCTTACTTTTTACATTTTAAGTAGTTGCCTAGGTAACATGATGACATCATCAGAGATGAAACCCCTCACTGACCTAAGATGTACTTGTGTGCTAAGTTTGGTTGCTCAACACCTGATGAGGCAGAGGTTCATGTGTATATCATGCAGAGCTCCAACGCAACAGACCTCCAGATATGATGCAAAGGCGAGGTCAGCTAGAGGTTATGCTTCCGTGCACACCTTTAATTTAATCAAGACATTTAAAATTATTCAAGGTAAATATATATATTTCAGTATATTCTTTTTTTTGCCATAACACTTGGTGAGCATGAACAAAAGTGAACTTTCTTGGCTGTAAATATTCACTGTGCGTGGAAATGCAGCAGTGTCTTCAGGAAGCATGTTCTCAGAAACATATGACATGATATATGCAGCTCGTTTGTGTTTCTATAGATACATTTATGTTTTCATCTTGGCACGATGACAAGAAGAGACGTGTGAAGTCTCAATGACAGGATCGCGCTGGCGTCTACAAATAGGGACAATCTAAATAGATTCAATATGCTGCCCTATAAATTGTTACGGCAAAGGAAAGAAAGGAATGTTGTGTAGGATAAATGCCAGATCTCAGTGTTTGTTTTTCAGCTTTATGTTGAATTCGGGAAGCTTAACTCAGTCGGTGAATTATATATAAGGTCACGTCCTTTGTAGTAGTTACTTCCCCTTTTACCCACATCAAGAATCTTCCCCCAAAAAAAGCAAACTTCCCTTTTCTGGAGAATTTAAGCTTCTTTTGTGCAGCTCAGGTCTCTGTGTTTGTTTGTTTTCTTCTTATTTTTATTTAAATCACACGTCTCTAAAGTTTTACTGAAAGATTAAAGTCTTGGTTTCTCTCGTGCACATTTTCTATTTTTTTCCACTCAGTTTTTCAAAAGTCTTTTGTGCAAACAATCAGCTCCTAAGTCTGTAAATTAGCTGTATGTTAAAACGCGTAAAGACGCAGTAAACAGTGTAGAAGAGACAAACACCCCATACATACAAGCCGCAAACACTCGAGTGAAAACAGTGCAAATACGCGTTCATTCCAGCCCGCGTTGCTGTTGTTTGATTTTAACGGCATCTCTTATAATCCCAAACCATAGCAGATGATCGCTAAGGCATTATAGATGGAACAACAGATTTTAATGTCCTTGCTGACTGCAATCCAATCAAAAATGTATGATTATGAGTGCCGCTGGCTCCTGAAGGTCTTCCAGCTCTAAATGAGATTGTGTATAATACAGTATGACGGCGGCGATGCCGTAACTACACCGATTCAACTTGAACCTCACCTCAGTTAATCCGCTCATGTCAAAAATCTAAAGTGTTCATGAAAACATGATATTTTCATTTTTTTATATTTTATAAAAACAGTGGCCTAAACTACAGAGAAGAGATGGAAGCATACACATACAGACTCTAAGAAACAGCATTTAAATGCAAAAACATACATCAATGCATTAATAACACAGGTCTGAAAAAAAATTATTTTCAGTTGCATGACATATTTTTGGTCAATTTTATGAATTTTAGGGTGCTGAATCCAAAAATGATCTCCATTTCCATCCATCACGTACAGTTTTTGCAAAACAGGAGGAGTTTACATTAAATAAACTACAACAGCGGTGAAAAAAATCAATTTTTATTACAAGTAACCATGCATAATTTTTCTGAGATTCCTTACTTTCCACTATGAGCAAAGTAAGCCTGATAGGACCTGCTGCCCCCCCCGGTATCTATACTTTGACTCAAGTATAGATACCAGATTTCAGTTTAAGGGAAACTATGCACTTAATTACACTAAAAGCATGAGTTTTGCAAGGAAACCTATCGAGATTCAGTTCAATTTTATTTAAAAAGCGGCAAATCACGACAACATTCGCCTCAAGGCGCTTTATATTGTAAGGTAGACCCTACAAGATGGAATTTTAAAAATATTTTTCCTGGTTTCAGCGAGTAAAAATCTATAAGACAGTCAAAATATCCTATGAAATTTTTTGTTTGCAGACCTGTCAGTACAGAAGCATGCATTTAAACAACCCTCAGTGTTTGTTGTACTGCTTGTACATGGAATTGGTTATTTTTCTGTTTTATTTTCAATCTATAAAGTCTAAAAAGATCTTTTCATGTTTTTATAAGGGAGAAAAAAGATCATTTACATCACTATATAACTATCAGTTGTTTTGATTGTGGATAAATCGATCAAGTCATTATTTGATGGATTTAATAGATTCATCCTTGTTTTCTCAGTTGAATGCCACAAAAATCCCAGATCCCAGGTCATATGGTTAGGTACCTTTAAATCTCTTCAACCGGGAAGAATTCAGTGATTTTAATATAAAAGAAAACATAAATTCTTATATTTTGGAAATTTGACAGATCATTTTGGCCATTTTGCATAAAATAAAATGATATTAGATCATAATTAGAGCTGGTTATTTATTGTCTGAATATTTTAGCACTGCAATAACTGAACAGAGGAAGGAGCCTGAAGTTGAAAAGGTTTCTTAAGAATTTTAGAAAGGTCATTTGACACGTCTGTAATTTTTTACTGCACAGATAAAGTTGTGAAGTCATGCATATATTTTATATTTTTATAGAGTTTTGAGAAGCCTTGAGGATTTCTCAGCATTTCAAAGCGTCTGCTGGACTTTGTCCAGGTTCTTTCTCCTGAGTCGAGCTCAGGGCAGCCAAACACAATGTTTTGGTTCAGCCTGTAAAAAGATGAAGCGGACGCCCTACATCACAGGTCTCCAGCACCTGATAGGACCTGAGCTGACACTGATGTTACGTACCCGCCATTTGCAAAAGGCCTGCTTAATTAACTCTTGGCTGCCGATGATGACCCATTAAGTAGTTAGCTGGTACGGGTGGTGAGTAAACACATCTGCTGGAGGGGCTTTAAAAGGATGTGCGACAGATGCAGCCGTTCCCTTTTCCGTGCTCTCCATTTAAATAATTCACCATGCAGTGACAATCCCTGCACCCCGGACCACCTGCGTGGAACTCCAGAGCCCAGAAACTTCCTTCTCCTTCCATCTGTCTGCTTCTGCTCCATCACCACTGCCGCCGCAAAGGATGCTCCTTTAACACGGCTCTACTCAGCCGGAGAAGAATTGTCATTTCATCGCACAATCCTTTTCCCCCTTTCCAGCCATGTTTTGTTACACATGGGGCCTTGTCCTCGCGAGCACTGCTTGAATTTTTGTTTTTGCCTCACAGATATAAGTTGCTGGGGAACATATTTCAGATACAGCAGTCGACTGAGTTGAGGTCCTCAGCTGCGGTTTCTTGTCCCGCTGGGGTCCCGGGGCACACGGCACCACATCTAGCTTTGGCGTCCAGGAATCAGAGCGTTCCCGGTCATCGAGCTGTGCGGGAGCACTCACGGCAGAGGCGTCATCTGTGCTGACAGCTGTGGCATCAGGCTTGAAACTCTGGCATCTGCTGACACTCTATGCTCCCTCCTCCAGCCCTCCATGCGCATCCCCATTAGGAGACCCCGCACACCCCACTGGTGCTCCTCACGAAGTGTTCTCACAGTAATGGTGGAAACAAAAAAAATACCTGAAGAGGGAGGTGACAGCTGCTTTACACAGCAGGTGCAGTGACGCTGATATGCTGGTGGATAAATAAGACGTGCTGCTGCAAAGAACACCGTCACCCCGTGTGCTCCCCGGGGGGTATCAGGATGTTTTGATTGAAATGTCCTATTGTCTGAATATCCCTTCATGTTGCAGCACAGGCCTGCTTCGTGTCTGTTGATTGGTTGTAACATGATCTGAATCTGGATCTGGACCCGACCGACCGTGCCTGGGCCAACCTCATCGAGCAGCCCAGGGCACTTTATACTTAACAGCGCCAATGCTCTCTGTTCAAATTCACTCAAACCTGTTGTAGGTGCAGGTCACCTGGTGCGAGTGCACATATGTCACCCATCTCTGCTTTACGTCTCCATTGGTCAGGTTTGTCCAGGAGTTTGGTCTTTCTTTTAACTTTTTTTCTTGGTGTTTCTGATTAACTGTAAAATTGGTAGAATATTTTATATTCCCTTAATCTAATGCAGATTTCTCTAAAAGCCTTTTTGACTGTCTCAGTAAATCTGTCCAACCTTTGATCTTCAACGATGGGTAAACAGATCCCTTTCCTACATGACTTTGGGGATCTTTTTGCCATGTTTTCTAGACTAGAATAGCGGCGAACCCTGTTTCCTGTCTCTTAATAAGATCCATCCACGAGAGGGAATGTACGTGGAGCTGAAAGTACCAATCAGAAGTGCTCTCAGTTGGTATTATCACCAAATTGGATTATTGGTTATAAGAAGCCGGTCAATATTCCAATTTTGTACGGGGAGCCAACTTTTAGAGTAATAGCGGTTGTCTCGTCTGGACCACATTCTCTCATCTGCTGTCCAGGCTTCGTGAGGCGATCCCTCCCATCAACTGAGCTTCAGAACTTCTGCCACACAAACACATACAGACTGATGATTCCTGGATGCCGGGTGACAGGCCCCACATATGCTCTGCTGTAAATTATTCACCCTCCTCAATTTTCACATCTTTAAGGGAAGTTTGAAAGCCATTAGCGTCACCATTGTCAGCCGCTCCAGCTGCATCGCATCACCAAAGCTTAGCGTCACAGAAGGCCTACCTTCTGATGAATTATAGCGAGCCTGGGGACAAACTTTTTCCAATGCAGAGCCAGAGGTCTGCGGCGGGAAGGAGCCTTCGGCCGTTCAGCCGGTGTCCCTGGGAAGCGGTGTCTGTTTTTGAGCGATCCCTCAGCCCTGTGACAGTCTGCCCTTTCAGCTCCCATTTATTCAAACATAACTACAAACCCACCAGCAGCTGCAGCTCTCTCCTCAGTGTCACTCATTGGCTTTTACTGTGGAAAAGTTAAATGACAGCCTGCTCTGTTTTCAATTATTCAGTTACTGGGTTGCCTCTTTAAATTCTTTTAAACCTTTTAAACCCCCCCTCTCCATAATCAAATTGCTAGTATTGCATTTAAACATTTTTAAAATGAACTTTACAACTGACTAACGAAAAAGCCATAGATTCATATTCTGCGAGCAGCAGAGTGACTAATCATTAGAGCAACACTTTAATAGATTTGGCCACGCAATTACTATATTCTTTTGGTCGTCTTCATGGAAATAAAAGTGTGTAAAAGAGAAGAGGATCTATGACTTATGCCTCTGTGTCAGAGCACATTCTGCCTACTCAACAGTAACTTGGTAAATTAGCAGTCAGTGTCTCAGAGAGGGAGGAGAAAAAAAGGCCTCGCTCACTATGGTTGGGTTGTGGTGCGTTAAAGATGTCCGGCGTTGTCGACCGAGGGAGAAGTGGGTTCATCAGTGTAACTCGCTTGGGAGCTTTCCACCCTACACACTGCGGGGTCCACACCTCCAGCTTGATTAACAACCTGCCCACCATTATCACGGATTGATGGTGTCAGCTAAATTAGCCTCTCCCCTCATCCATTCAGCGCGAGCGCTTAGTTAACATGCAGGGACCTAGAACATCTTCGCCGAGCTACGGAGGCGTGCAGCGTTTCCAGTGATGCTTCCTGATGGAAGAAAACTGATTCTCATTCAAAATCTTCAGTTTTCAACTCTTAAAGTTACCATTCATTCATTTTCAGTCCAAAAAAGACCTTTTTCTTTGTGTAGGTTTAAAGACATGTAGCACATTACTAACAGTTTAAAGGAACCTGAAACAGGTCAAGTAAAGCCTTCCCAGCAGTACCAGAGTGTTTCTTAGTTCCCTGTTAATGATTTGTGAAAACTTCTCCCACATGCTTTTTCCTCGAATTGCAAAGTTAATCTGTCAGCGTAAGGTGTCGCGGATAAATACAACAAAATAAAACCAGTACCGGTACCAAAAAAAGAAGATTTATTCATAACACATGGGAAAAGACCCAGGGAAACAGAGTTAATGATAAAAACGATAAAATAACAACGATTAAAAACCCTGAAAACCATGAATTTCACACCCGACTCTCAACTCTGGCGGCCCGGTACCAAACGACTCGGCCCATTGGTTGGGGACCGCTGACCTAAAACTAAAAGAGCATTACATTTACTTATTATTTTGTTCATCCTGCTACGTTGTAATCCTTCACTGACTGTCACTATAAAAGTGTCAGTGTATCTGCAGCACACATAACAGAATAGAATAAATGAATAGAATATTTTGCCCTCTGTAGCATTGCCTAAAATGCACCAGCTGCTTAAATATGAAAGACCTGCATCAAATATCCAATAAAGATTTTATTTTATTTTTTTTAATATAACTTTATTAAGTAATAGATAATTTGAAAGCACAAGTTGATCATCAACAAGTTGGTGAGGTGTCAGAGCGGATCCTGCTTAAAGGTCGCTGCACTGTATTTTAAATATTTAGCGCAGTAAATAAGGTGAGGTGCAAAAAAGTCAGTTTCGAATATTTAGACGGCGCAGTAAAGGACACATGGTCTGGTCGCTCATCTGTTCAGAACCACAGGAGAATTGGTGGCCCAAGGCACTGCCTGAGGCAAAATCCACAGCAAAGAGAGCACTCTTGTTATTATTCCACTGCACCATTTTTAATGCAGGCCTCCTCTGTACACTCCCGTGCACTCACAGCTGGCCCCTCGCACACAATACCGCTCTGCGTACTTCTTTCTCTCGCCTCTTTTCTTTTTGTGTCGGAGGGAATATTTCAGGCGTTTCATTCGTTCCATATCCTGAATTCTCATTAAACCTGCGGTAATTGGATTGGGCATAATAGACATATGGAAATTGCGGTGCCGTTCATCATTAGGGTTTTAATTGCGCCCATTTTGGCTTTGCATTTTTCTCTCTAAATAAGTCTTCGGAGTTCAGGAGCCTTGTTACTGCCAGTCAAGTTACTTCACCCACACACGATGATTATGTGATAATGACAGGATTTCCTCCCACTGAGGACATTTATTTAATTCTGATTGTTGTCTTTATTGAGCATTGTGCTAACATGACTCCAGGACTTATTAGCGTTTGTGAGAACAGGATTTGCGAGAGCAACGATAGAATTATAGAGCTCTTCTATTTTTAAAGTCTTGATGCAGAGCAAAGTATTATCAGGGAGAACAAAACTGTTTTCAATAACACTGAATACATATTGTTAGATTGATTAAACACACACACATGTAGCACGGTAGAAGAGAGACAGGTAAAAATAATAATGTTGCTTGGCAACAACTCGTTACTTAAAAAGCAATTAAAGCTTCCCAAACAGTGCTGCTACCTCTAAGACGGCGGTGTCAAACATGAGGCTCGGGGGCGAGATTTGATGATCCCGTTTGGCGCACCGGATGGCTTCGCCGTGTGATAAAATTACAGTGAAGTCATTAATTACACGTTTTTGTTAAAAACAAACCACGTTGCTGTTTACGGTGTAGTAATGCATGACCAGTATGACTACACATGAGTAAAAATGTGTGCAAATCTGAGCAGGATCTCTGATTCATATTAGATACAAAAGCTTTACATGTGATGATTTTATGTCTTTTCACATCCTTCAGTTAAATTGTAACTACTCCAGCTTTACTGGCTGTACAACAACTGAGATACATTCTGTGTTTTTCTGAAGAGAACTCAGGCTGTTTGTACAGGGATGGTTTGTTACATTTGAAAATTAAATAGAAAAAGCTTCTAGAATTATTTTTGGCATTTAGGCTTTATTAGAGAGGGAAGAGGAGAGAGAGGACAGGAAACCAGGGAAAGAGTGGGGTGACGTGCAGAAAAAGATCTGGAGAGCAGACTCAAAGTTGGGCTCCTGCAGTAGCCTTCAGCCAGCAGAGCGGTAGCTCTGAGCAGACTTCTTTATACTTATTTAAAAATGAGAAATTTAGAGGCGTGTGTGTTTCATATAAGCTGTGATGCTGTAGTGTTATGGCTTCCTCAAAGTGGGACCAACTGGACTAAAATGAGTTTGACATCATTGCTTTAGGATGTTAAAGGCCAGCTTATGTTATGAATGGGGTTGGGAGGTTGAATAGAGTGTCTGTGAAACATGTGTCCTAGTATATTTAAAGGTACTTTGCAGTACTTCAAAGGGGCCTGGAAAATAAAAAGTCATGTATATTTAATGAATTGAATTACATTATAATAAAAATTTACAATATTCAAAATTTCATTTTATTATTAAATCCTGATTTTATGGACACAGGTGATTTTTTTTATTTATTTATTTATTTTTGCGCTGGTTGGAGGTCAAAAAAAAGTCTTTTAGGAAAATTGCTGAGGTGACATTTAGCCCCTGTAAGACAGGACTGAGGGCACGATGTTGCAAAAAAAACACAAGCTGCAGCGCGATGCTTGTCCTTCTTGGAGATTAAAAAGATATCAGCTGAGACCCGATGTTTACAGTTGACGTATCTTTAATCACAAAGTTTGCAAAAACAGAAAACGTATGACGAAAATTCCAACACAGTGAACTTCCCTGGAAATGCAAACGTGTTTTTCTTCTCTGACAAACGTGGGAGAACTGGCAGGATAAAGTGAGACGAGGTTTTAATGTTGTTTCCTGCTGTTTCCTTTAATTTCCTCTGATACTAATTAAACTCTTTCCTTTACAGGAAAATGGATGTTCTCATCAGCCTTAACAACGGCAAGTCCTTCATCTCGAGTGCCCACACCATCTCTGCTACCACATGTGTGAGTTAAATGCTGAGCTCTGATATTTCACATTCCAGATTAAACTTAAAGTCCCTTTAATAACATGAAGCTGCGTTTCCTGATTTTATAACTGAGGAAGTGATGCATAAAACATGGCCTGACTATAAGGTTACAAGTTTTCCTGTTATGTTTGAGCAGAACTTCCTTTTTTTCAGTGTTTCTCATATGATGAAACAATGTCATAGTTTTATAGACACTTTGTGAAACATCTGCTCTTTTGTAAGACGATACGCTTGCTCCGATTTAGCTGTTATCGACCGCATGTTCCCCTTTGTTTCTATTTCGTATTCCTTCTAACAAACTTTTAATATTTCTCCTCTAGCTTTGACGCATCCAGTTGTTTCCAGCTGTGTGACTGTTTTGCCTTTTCCTTTTCTCCTTCAGTCGGACGGCTTTGTGGTGGCGATAGTCTTCCTGGTGCTGCTCCTCCTCGTGGCCCTGGCCCTCATGTGGTGGTTGTGGCCTCTGTGTTGCAAAGTGGTGAGTGCTGCTACACCGCCTATAACCAGCACAGTCATGTTTGGTCAACCAAAACTGATAAATGAATTAAATCTGGCTTTGAGCGGAGATGAGAGCGGGTTCTCGACTGTGGGGAGAAAAACACGCTAAAGTGTTGCTGCTCTTTGTTCTGCCTCGTCCTGTAAATCTGATGAGGATAAACCCTATCACCCACTTTTTTCCCTCGTATTGCTCTGACAGCTGTAAACATCCTGTTGCGGCACATACAGCACCGCCTTGCTGAAAAAGATGAGGTCACTTGAAAAAGCATGTCTTGTAAAGTCTGACTTAATTTGGGTGAAAGATGGAGTTTAATCACCAGTTAAAAAGCACAAAGAGGTGACGGGCAGGCTCGGTGTTATTCACCAAGCCTTGCCGAAGGGAAGTGGTGCTGAACATCTGTTCAAGCTCGTCACCTCCCGCTTACCGCGATAAGTCACACTGGTTTAGCAACACCGCAGAGCACTGCAGACCAGCGGCCGATTGCTGCACATGCTATATGTGGAGAAGTCGCTTTACACAAACAGACTGTTAAAAACAATAACATAGACCAGCAGCAGAAAGATGTGAGTGACAGATTGCATGAAAGTTACCAGAGTCTCTGTTTGTTTAGGACTAATGTCGGGCCTACCTGGGGACTGAAGGGATTCAGAATAATCACACAGACTTTTAGCGGTTTTATCGCATTAGAATCCATCATGTCCTGCTTCAGCTTAAAACACTTTTACACATCTATTCAATCATGTTCTAGATACACTATTATGAATATTTCTTATTCTTCCTCAGTGCTGCTAATATTGTTTATTTAAACCTGCATTAGGCAGAAGTTGGATTAAATAAAACATCCGTCTACTGTCGCTCTCCCTTTGCTGTTTAAAACCCGCCCACTAAAGACCAGAGGCCTGTGCGTGTACTTCACTAAAAAATAAGAGTGAATATTTTTGCTGATTTTTGTTTGTTCCTCACCCGACTAACACAAAAGTGAAGATGCTCAACTGGATGTGGTGACTGTGGAGGCCTTTGGAGGACAGTGAACTCATTGTTATGGGCTGGAGATGATTTGAGCTTCGCGGCGTGCTGTGAAGCAGCCATGAGGAGACGAGCACGCTGTCGTCACAAAGAGACGGAGATGCTCAGCAACAGTGCAACCTTTAAACTGAGCTCAGCTGACACTAAAAGGCCGCCGCTCCAAACTGCAGATACAGGCAGGATCGATCGATGCAGGTTTGACATGTCGTGCGTTATGAGGCGGCTTCTTCTGAACCTTGGCTGGAACGAGGGGTTATTTGACTTTCTGTTGCCTTCCTATGACTCAACATCAACAGATCTGCTACTCAAAGGATATTTTCTTATTTTTGGACCATTATCTGTGAACCCCAGAGACGGTTATGTGGGAAACTCCCAGCAGTGCCTGTCTGCCACCAACAACAGTCAATGTCTACCTCCCTTAATTCCTGGAGTTGCTGCCATGTGATTGGCTGATATAACACTTGTATTAACAGGCAGTTCAATAGATATAATTACAAAGGTGGCTCAGTGTATAATGCACACATATACCGCATATGAAACGGACAAAAATCTTTCTCCACGTACTTGACAGGACAGATTATTTTTCAGCTTCATCCTCATAAATGGAGTAAAGGATGTTGAAACAGAGACACACATCTGCTGTAAAATGATCAAAAATGTTCTTTTGTTCCTTCGTTTTGGTCCTAAAAGTGTGAAAAGTGGAAACAGCCGGTTATGACTTAAATGTTTCTGCTTAGGGATAAGGTTTTTTAGTTTTTTTTAGTTTTGTGTTTCTTGGTCGTGCTTTTTATTCTCTCTCTGTGGAGGTTGGGAGGTTCTTCATTAATTCCACAAGTCACCACATTTCCAGTCCCATGTGTACGGGGTGTTTTAAAGTGGAACTTGAGGCTGCGTTTAATTAATTCATCTGAAATCTGCTCTTAAAGTCATAACTTATGACTAGAAAATATTTTTGCTTTTTTGTCCAGAGTTGAAACTTTGGTTTAGTTGGTTAAAAAAAAGAGTACTGTTTTAAAAACCTCGCTCTGGCCTCACCCCCTTTGGAAATAAAGTCTCCCCCGCTTAACCGTTTACAAAAATCCACAACAGATTATCGTTTGAGGCTATGAGAGAGGGGCTACAGATGGTGTGCGCAGCCTCTTTTTTCTGTCTCTGCCTTTTTCTATTGAGATCTGATAAAGGCAAATTTACCCTCTACTCCGCCGACCCTCGCGGCGGACCTCTGTTCCCGCTCACCCGCACCGGCCCTTAAATGATAGACGTCACCTGGCTTTGTGGACCTGAAGGGATCCCATCCAGGATGAGATGGAAGCATATTTTGGAAAACCAACAAAGGCATTAAAATGTAAACCCCCTGCAGCATGTCTGGCGGTGGACGTGTTTGTCTTGGTGGAGAGAGCTGCTGTTGCCTTCCATCGAGGGACGCGGCAGAAGAGGAGGGCCATGTGTGGCTTGTTAATATTTAAACCCCCAGTCTGCCAGGTTTCAGCAGTCGGGATGAGGCCGCGCACACACGCTCGACACACACATACACATACACAGAGACACATGCCCAACCTCTTTCCCACAATCCCTCTCTCCCCTTCTCTCTCCCGCGTGGACCGATGCCAGGAGAGAGGTCATACAAGCTGTGGAATGGTAATTTCTTTGTTTATGATTTGTTTGGAAATTAAACTCGAATGGCATCGCCTTTAGTTCAAATCAAAGGATTCAGGATTGGAGATGCCGTTTTAAATTACATTGCCAGTTTATCCAAATTACAAACTATTCGCTGCTAAATTGGATGCACTTTTGGACACATTTGCGACTCATTTGGTCCTTAATATGTTATTAATCTCTAATTATTTCTTGTTCTTGCAGAACTTTTGTCGTCTTTGTTCTCTTTCAGTTGATTTTTTTATTTGTTTTGTTCTCGTACAAACAGTTTCTCCACAGATGAAGACCTAAAGCAATTTTAAACTTTCGAATATGCTATCTGCCACTGATCCGTCGTTATAAGCCTCCCAAAACAGCTTGACACGACACGGTTCGAGCTTAAGGTTGGGAACGAACAGATTATAAAGTCCAGTTCGACGTTTACGGAGACGGCCATATGGGGACAATACCCCGAGTGCCTCTGATTGGTCCAATTCCCCCCGGCTGCGGCGGCGGGCCGCTGGGGCTTGTGTCAGATGGCGAAATATCCTGTGGTTTAGTTTTTAATTATGCCACCGCGCTGCTCCTCTTCACATCTGTCCATCAGGTAGCTGGGAAAGAGCAGCGGAGCGTTTGTGTGACGCTTTATTTGTCTCACAACATGTGCAGGAAATCTGCTGCATAATTACTTAATAAAAGAGATAATCCTGTGAACGTAAGGTGTGGCTGAAATGATGTTAATCAGCGTATGGCGAGGCCACCAGTAGCCCTTTACTAGATTTGCTTACAGCCGGTTGTGTGTTACAAAGGAATTAATTAACCCTAATTGATTATTTTTCATTATTCTAATGACAACAGTAAGCAGAGAGTGTGATAGCGTCCCTGAGCTTAAGAGTGAATGAAACAGCTGTTAGGATCTATGATATGCCGTAATTACATCGCTCCTTTTCCCTCCGAAACCACTTTAGCAAATGCATAACCAGCTCTGACACTGTGGTATCTGTCCTTGATGACTAATGAACAAAGGTCAGCTTTCCACTTTGCAGCGCACCTCAGGTTGAGATATGTCCTTAGTGCAATTATAAGCACTGCATTTATAGGGCACCTACTGTGTCCACCCCTGTGTGGGGAGCGGGGAGTGGGCGAGGAGGTGAACAGAAGCTTTTTCCTTTGTATCAGGATTTAGGTTTGAATAAATGTCCCACAAAATTCCAATAACACTTCCTGAGCTCAGTTTGATGACTTTGATCCAAAACCTGAAGACTTTTAACAAACAGTAACAGAAAAAAGGAAAGTTGAACTGAATTTGTAAGAAGATACATCTCCCTGCCTTCACTATAAATGATTTGCTCTATAGTTAAATAAATAAAAGTTTTTGTCACCGGCATGTTAATCGATTAATTGAGTAATAATGGAGACATTATTCAGAAGAGATTGTGACCTCACTGTACTTTAAGATATCGCACAGTATCTCCACACAGCCATTCTGCAATACTGCATGATTTAGTTAATTAAAATCTTCACTGTGAGCTGCCGTCTGTTTAAATTACACCGTTTAGTCGTGAAACAGAGACTTTGTTCATTTAAAAAAACTGGCTGGGGTCAATCTTAAAAGCATCAACGTGTTGTAGTGAAAATATTTAGTGCCAGTTCATCCATAACCCTATCGCAAGTGGAAACAGTACAGTGTATTGGTATTTTTACCTGCTGGATCAGCTGCTGGACGAGTCATCCAATGGTGCTAATCTGAGGAGCTTGGAAAGAGAAGCGACTGGACTTCTTTGAGTTTATCGATTTTTCACTATGTAAAACTTGACTTGCATGGTGACTTTCTCTTAGTTTCCTTGTGAAAAATACACAAAATAAAAGAAAACTTGTTAAAAACCATTAAAAAGCATTAAAGATGCAAAAAGAACATAAATAAACTGCAAGTGTGCAGGCCTGTGTTTTCACGTGACGGCTGTGACCTACAGCAACTGACAACACCGAAGAATAAAGCGCCTCGGTCTTTCCAGCGCCAGCCCGCTCACAGATGGGTTTTTGGTGAGTGAGTGGCAGAAGCGTCTTCAGTAAAGAGTCGGACATCAGTATGTGAAGCGTCTGACTGACACCTGACAAATGTCACTGTCAGGCCTCTCTTTGCTTTGCCGTGCACATCTGAAAAACCCGGCCGAGGCATCTTGTCCTTGAGTGGAATCACATTGTGGACAACCTGCTCCTCAGGTGCCCTCTCATCCAGTGTTGTCACAAACAATGCCGCTGGCCGGTCACTCTGCTCTGGGAGAGTCGTGTCCTGGTTATATGTGGGTGAGGGTGCGCGTGTGTGTGTGTTTTCTTGTATTTTCTGTGTGTGTTTGCCGCCACTCATCTTCCCTTCAGACGGGGCTTGGAGCTGAGCCCAAGCCTCCTCCTCTGTATCTCATTGGAGCTAATTAACTCCTTAGGACTTTATGATTGGGGGGATTGCTTGGAAGCACTGAACCCCATCCAATTAATTAAGAGCTAAACGGGCAGCGGCGCTCGCCCCAAAGACTCCCCTGTCAACAAGTTGATTTTCAGCTTTTCTTTATTTTGCACGGGGGGCCCCTGATGTTGGTTTACAAGCAGAATCCTTGTAATCAGCAGTCAGTGACGCGATGGGGCAGCAGTCGCTGCTGCAAAACAGGCTGGCAGCGACGGCGTCTCCACCGTGAGATGAGCTCAGGGATGTTTCTGTTTGGCTCAGTCACCTGTCACGAATCACCTCTGTCAGCCTTGTCTGCGCTCGTCTTGATGAGGTTTGAGCGCGTGTGTTTGTGCGTGTCCCAATGCATCTCCTGACGGGCTGTGCTGACGCTCTTTTGCTTCTTCTGTTTATCCAGGTCATCAAGGACCCGCCGCCGCCGCCTCCACCATCTCGTCCTCCACCGCCCGTGAGTCACAATTGTTTTATTTTCAGGTTTGAAAATCTGTGCGGTGCAAAAGAAGAAAATGGGAGTCAGAGGAGGTTCCAGAGCTCAGAATGGTGCAGCACTGAAATTTCAGGGAAACTTTGCACGTTTTGAGAATCAGGATTATTGAGCGTCTCTCTGAGAATTTCACAGGGCCGTTATCGCTGCATTGGGCATCTAACTCGAGCCAATTCAGACTAAAACTAAAACCATAACGTGTCCCTTTTACATTTGTTTGTGTACAGATCATATAAACAAGATCACATTTTAATTAGTGAGCTGGTAGATGGATTTTTGAACTTTGGACAGAGGCGTGCTCGCTGTTTGCCCCGTGATTTCAGTCTTTCTGCTAAACTAGAGTAATCCCAGCTCCAGCTCTGCACACAGACATGAGAGTGATGGAGCTTGTTTCTTCTCATGATGAAATGAAGTCAGATTGCATATTTCCCAACGTGTCGAGCAGTTCCTTCAAAAAATGACTTTAGAAAAGTTGGTGCTTGTGATACACCTTTCGTCTTCACTGACTAACGATTATCGTAAAAGACTGAATCAAAAAGCGTCTTCTGCAATACGAGATTCATTAACAGAAAAAGATTTTAATGTTTAACTGATTATTTTAGTTAATTAAATTCCAGAGGGAAACAGTCAATATCAAAGTATGTAGCTGAGGTCTAATATTTTAGATTTCACTGTGTAAAATCTAAATTTTCACACCATTCCTGAACTGAATCTCTGTATCCAGATGGATAAGTGGATCCGGGTCATTTTGTGATACTTAATCACCCCTAAGCTGGACCAAACCTCACCATTTTAACTTGTCTATAACATTTAGAGCAGGGGTGGGAACTCCAGGCCTCGAGGGCCGGTGTCCTGCAGGTTTTAGATCTCACCCTGGGTCAACACACCTGAATCACATGATTAGTTCATTACCAGGCCTCTGGAGAACTTCAGGACTTGTTGAGGAGGTTGTTTAACCATGTAAATCAGCTGTGTTGGATCAAGAACACATCTAAAACCTGCAGGACACCGGCCCTCGAGGCCTGGAGTTCCCCACCCCTGGTTTAGACAATCAGAGAGTTGCCGATGGAGTTACTCAACCTCCTTGGTGAAAATCATTTGCAGGTTTTTAAAAGCAAAGTAAAATACCGTACTGCTTGTAAAGCTTTACACTAAATTTCCCAGCATCCTCAGGGAGCTACTACCTCTTGACTTTTCCCCCCCAGAACGGGGGTCTCAAACTCGCAGCCCACGTCACCCCTACTTTGTTAGGGAGGATGTGTTTGTTGTTGAGTGCAATGTTGAAATAAGTTTTTTAAAAAGCAAAAAACGACTTAATATGAGCAGAGAGCACAGACACGTTGAGGGCTGTGTTAGTTCAGAGAGTCAAAAACGAATGTCTGCGCATTTATTTTGTTAAATACGAACAAATTTATAGCAGAAAACCCGCCTGAGTTTAGTTTAGTTCCAGAAACATTGTAGCGTAAAGTAGACATTTAAATATCTGGCTTATCATTGGCTGAATTTTTGCCAAACACGTTAGCATGATGCTACAGTTTTGTTTAGTTCTTTTCTGCAGGGCACAGGATTACAGTGTAAATGCTTCTGAAAGCTTTACCCTGTGTGGTAGTTGATCCCATCCCACTGCAGCATTTTCAGTTTGCGGCAGATGGAACTGTAAACATCAGCGGAGCGATACGAACGGTTTCCCCTCTGCACGAACACGCGCTGAGCCAGGAGTAAGGCCTACGTTTCCCTTCCTTCCTGACAAAGTGACATCTTCCCGATGAAAGGAAACGTTGTTTTGGTGTGCAGGGACAAATATGGACGAAAGAAAATAGAACAATAGCAAACACATCATTGCACTTCCTCCCCTTTGTCATTACAGTGACTCTGATTAATGTCATACATATAAATATGGAAAGAAAATTTGCACACACTCTTATTTGACACACAACTATGTGTTTCCTGGTTTTGTTTTCTGTGTTTATTTCTTAGGAGCCTGAGCCGCTGCCCAAGAAGAAGTGGCCAACTGTGGATGCCTCGTACTACGGAGGAAGAGGAGTCGGAGGGATCAGTCGGATGGAGGTCAGAAACTCAAAACTATTGGCCAACATGCTGCTTCCGTTCTTTCTTAGTGAAAAGCTGAACGAAACAAGCAAAAACAGCTGAAATATTCCAAAGGTCAAAATGCAGACAGCAGGAAATGACACATATGTGTGGTCCCGTAAACTTGCATCATCATGTTCAGTCTTTTCTGCGAGGCGGGAACTTTGTTGAGTTACGCAGGAATCAGGAGGAGAAACCCACCGACCGAGCGACTGACTGGCTGACTGACCGGCCGGGCCGCTGTCCTCGTCAGCCCACTGATGCCTCCGACATGACAGGCCCTGCCATCTCGTCCTTGGCCGTCGAGGGCTGATTGGATCAAGTCGCAGCCGGGATGAAAGATTGAGTGCTGCTGTCAACTTGACATACCCACCTCTCCTCTCTGCTTCCCCCGTCTCAACTTCCAGACCTTGGCAGCTCGCTTTGTTATCCGCCTCCTCCGAAGGGAATTCAGGTTTAAAAGCGAGCTGCCCCTCCCCCTCCTTCCTACCTAGCCCCGAGGAAGTTGGTAGCATGGCAGGGATTTCCCAGCATCCTCGGGGAGCTCCTACTTCTTGACTTTTCCCCCCCCAGAGTGTTGCTGAGATCCAATCCTGGCTGTTACCTTTCTCTGTTCTTCCACTAGCGTGTTGATTCCCATCGACAGGCGCGTCTCCACATCTGAAGCCCCCACTCCCTCCCCGCCGTCACCCCACTGATAGATAACGAGTTGCTTGTAAAGACCAACCCGTCCGCTCCTCCGCATCCACATTTAAGACGTCATGCTGAGAAAACCACCTCCGCCGCTTTGCCGCTGCCAGCATTTCAAACGATTATTGAGGTGACAACGTATCTTTTATTCATGGCAGCCTTTCTCTTTTCCTGATGATGCGGCAGGCCGGCGATGTATCCCAGAGATGATTCTGAAAAGCTGTTCTATATTGTCACGGCTTAACCTACAGCTTGAAAACTGTGTTGCTAATTAATCACCTCACCCCATTCATGTGACGGTGGGTTTCTTTTCCTTTTTTTATCTCCTCCTTGTAACAGATGTGATGAATTCAATTAAAAAGCAGGACAGCTTTACTTAACACACAGGCTTGCTTTCACACGCTGACACCCCCCCAACATGCGCGCGTGCACACACACACACACACACACACACACACACACAATAACACATTATACCAAATGTAAACGTCCTTATTGATAAAAGAATCCGAGTGATTTTTCCAACACGTACAGATCTTTTACTGAAGCTGTGGTCCTGAAGCTAAAGTTGGTCACAGATAGAGGTGTTTGGCCAGGCTCATCACGCTGACACACTGCTGTAGTGATCACAGACAGTCCTCACAGCATCTCTAATCTTATTTCCTGTAGTTTTTCTCAGACTGATGGACCAATCAGGTGTTTAACTGCTTAATTGCTCTCATTTAACGTTTCTATTTTCTTGTTCAAGGTGCGCTGGGGGGAAAAAGGCTCTACTGAGGAGGGGGCCCGGCTGGAGAAAGCAAAGAATGCCAAAGTGTCCATACCACAGGATGTAGAGGAGCCAATGATCAAACGGCCCACTCCAAAGCCCGCTCCCAACCATCCACCCGAGAACAAATGGTACACTCCTATCAAGGTGAGAGTTACTGACTGACTTTAGGATTTTTCTTTTCCTACTTTGGGTACTTCTAAATGATACTGATAGGGAAAAGTCTCAGCTTAAAGGCCCATTTACTAGTTCTCCAAGGTTCATCCAGCAAATTACACTCATGTGAAAATCTCTAAATTGTGGTTAAAAGTTAAAGCTGTCTTTGGGTAGTTGAAAAGAAACGCTTCAAATTAGATTCCCTGTGAACTGTTAAGACTTTTTTTATTACCATGAAGTGAAACTCTTGAAATAGAGAATGGTCGAATATTCATTTAAGAGGCCACGACTGGCATCTACGGTGGAAAACGGCATCCATGGATGTCTAATGCTTTGTGCGTTACCTTAAAGATCAGTCTGTAGAAACACTGGTTTTGAAAATCTACACAAGATTACGTAAATAAAGACAACCGACACAGTTCCGTTTCTGTGCTTCATCAGGGTCGTCTCGATGCTTTGTGGGCTTTGATGCGGCGGCAGTACGACCGAGTGTCCCTCATGCGACCCACATCAGAAGACCAGGTAAGTCAAAATTCATCCCTGATGTTCTTCTCAAACCTAAAACAAACTCGAAGCTTCTCAGCACCGGTAATTTGCTCTAATGGAAACAAAATATTTGCATATTAGCCAAAAATACAAACTCATTTGCGATTGGTGAATTATGCAGGAGGAAGTCATACCGAGAGTGAAGTGTACACGTGTGCAAAGATTGTGCAGTGCTGCTTTTTAGTTGCACAAACCAACAGCTTGAGGCAGTGAGTCAAAGTCTCATCAGTGGTCATCAGTGCAGTTTATAGTACACAGGAGCAAAAATAGAAAATATCCTGCATTAGTCAGCAGCGTGGATGTTCTTCTTTTTCTTTTTTTAAGTGGTAAATGTTCCTGTAACCATTCCATGAAGTCCCTAATCCCCTCTATGCCTTAATAGGAATACTTTTATCCCTCCAAATCTTTAAAGTCACCGCAGTTACACTTAAGAGCTCATTGTTTTATTGTTGTATTGTATCGCAGCTCCTCTCGGCAGAGGAAGCTGCTGGCACAAGTTGTGCCTTGTGTTGTTGTTACCTAAGGGAGCCAATGTGAGCTGCAGCTGCAGATACTCACAGAAGGAAGCGTGACAGGGATGACCTAATATGGTTATGCTCTGGGTTTTTTGGTGTGTGTTTTTCAACCAGTGTAAAAGAAGAGGAAGCAAATCGACTCCACAAATCGGCACAGTGAAACCTGCTGCTAAGTCAGTTAACCAGATGTTTTTATATATTTTTATATATTTTAATTGCTGACTACAATCCAAACACAATACAATCTGCTGTGCTCGCTGTGCTGTATGCCAAATGTCAGAATTAATGGTGAGATTAGAACCAAGTTGCAGACAAGTGGAGCAGCTATATTACTGTGGCCCACAAACACGTCCTTGGCTTTTCCTGGGCTGCTTCTTCTGAAGTCTGTGAGGTAATTTTAGAAATTCCCCGTCAGTCTCCTTTTTAACATTACACAGCAGAAATGTATTAGTATTAAAACTGCCAGGGGAAAACCAAACGTGAATCTTGAAAGAGAAATGCGCGGACTCTTCCAAAGGACGGTGCTTCACGGGCACAAGCTGTGCAGGCGAATGGGCCAAAAAATCTGCACCTGTATGGTGCACATACATTATTTCCCTGTTGTCTCCAACTTCTGTGCATCTTCCTCTTCACCGAGGTTAGAGAGCAGGAACCATCCAAGCTTTTAGTAGTTTAGAGAATGATGTCAGGCTGCAAATCTCTCAAGTGAAGTCGTGTTTTGCAACATGGAAAAAACCCGAGCCAGTGGGCCAGCTGTGAGCCTGCCAGTTGCTACTCGGGGTGTCACAGTGCTGTTTAGCAAATTTCAGAATGCCAGAAGATGCACTGGTAAAAATAGATAACAACTCTCATAGTTCCAGTGAGTAGTGATGTGACAGATCACATTTTAGAAGATGTTTAGATATAGTGGTTAAAATTCATCAGAATCTCACTGCGACGTGTGTCGCCAAAATTTGAATGAAAGTATTTTAAAGCCATGCAGACACGGATGTTTCTGAGCCAGTGCTGATTTTAATTCCAGCTTTTGTTTTTAAGAGATGTGAGATGTTTGTATTAATATAGAGTCTTACAGTCTTACTTTACATTAGCAGATATTCTTATGATCCATCATTCTGATACGACTTTGGACGCTCATGTTAACTTGGTTAAAGTATGGACTAAAATCAGTTTATGTACTGCAGGATGTCAGTAAGCCCAGATGACCCTAATATGGTCATCTCAGACATGCAGTTCTGATTGTGAGCGCAGAAGCTCCACCCACCTGCTGATCAAACTTTATTGTTGAGAGGGGCAGCCAATCAGAGAAAAGCACTGCTTGAAAAGAGGAGGAAGGGAGTTTAAACAGGTTGTTTGAAACTCTGATTTATGCAGATCTAATGTGGTATAGGCTGACTTTAGTAATGTGAACATTTGGACGCTCTTCTTCATAGATTTCGTTTCTCTTTCTATTTAAAAACAGAAGATTTTTTCCACATTTTTCACCGGTTTTATACATATTAGATTTTTTTGAGCTGTAGTTATATATGCAAGTCTCTCAACTCAGCAGTAACCACACTCTCTCCTTTCATGTTTGTCATTGTCATGACGACCAGTAGCCAATTAAAATTTTTGCTTATTTGTACAGTGTGGTGTACCTCAGTGTCACAGTGAAGATACTGAGATACGATACAGAGTATTGAGTTCAACCATTGCTGTTGATACATCAGTGATGGATCAATATAGAACATTATAGAGCTCAGTTTTAGGATTTGCGACACCTTGAGGTGCTGGGAGCTGTAGTAACGTGTAATCTGGACTTTTTAAAGTGACAACCTTTTAACCAAGTTAGTCAAGACATAAAATGAACATCGGTGGAAGTCAATTAGAGGTCTCGTGATCTGTTTCAAACCTGTTTGCCTTCCTAAGCGACTGAGCATCAACCAGTTATTCTCTACAAGAGCGTAAACAACTCAAGTATGATGTGAAGTGACAAAATAAATTGTTAAAAGTTTGTTAAATAGGCTGATGCTCTTTGAGTTTGTTGAAAGGCTTCATGATGAGACTAAACGTGCATATTTACCTGCTTGGTTTTCGTGAAGTGACAGGAATTCCCCTGCCCGGTATTCATCCAACTGTCTGAATGTGGAAACATCACGGCTGCTCCAGCTGTGTAGAAGATGACTGATATTCCCACACAAGGGGTCACCTCTGTCGCTCTGAGCAACCTGTTTGGAAACAGAGTGAAGCCCACCAGTGAGTACACAAGTTATGTCAAAGCACGTCGGCCGGAGGAGGGAAGGCTGCTGCTGCTGAAGTCTCTCTTCATTCTCATGCCGATCACTGCGTCCACATTAAGTCTGTGATCAACATCGTACACACAGGACGCGGGAGAGAATCAAACAGAGGGCCACGAAGTGTGTTTGAAGTGATGTCTCAACTGAGAAGCAGTGGAAGGTGTTTTGAAACCTAATCGCATTTTGGAGATGATTATTTTAAATCGCCTACTGGCTCACAGTTGAATTTCAGCTGTGTTGCTAACATGTAATTGATTTCATGTGAGTTTCGTAAGATTCAATCAATCTTTCATCCTTGATTCTATCCACAAATATGAAATCCAATGAACCGTTCAGCTGATTTGATTCACTTTCTAACTCTGAAACTAGACAGTCAACTGCTAAGTTGTAGCAATTTCCAGGCTAGTTTTTTGAGAATCTTTTGTTAACAACACAAATTCTCAGAGTTTTTGGGACTTGGGATCCTTACAGGTCAGACATCCTGAATGATTTAATGATACTCCTAAACCAGAGTATTTCCACTAGTGAGACTACATCATGTCTGGAACATGTGAGGAAAGAAATGGAGCCTAGACCTGATTGTTTATCTCGATTTGTGGTTTTACATTTCATTTTCCATTTTAGTATTTTTCCAATCTCTATGATAAAACTGGCGCTGGTGTCACATGTTGCCTTTTGATTGGAGTGGAAATGCTTTGGGAGCTTCCATGCATCTATGTTATCATGGCAAATATCTCATATTTGACATTCATTAGTTGTTAGAGAGCTTATTTCGAATCCGTACGCGCTGCTGTTGTTGTGCTTCTCCAGCCTGGCCCCGCTGAGACACGTGTGATATCGTTCTGAACAGATTCATCAAAGTGTGAGGTGTCTGAACTGTCCAGTGACAGGTTAGGTGTAGATGGCAGAGCAGACAGTGACAGAGAGAGGAGAGCGGCGGCGGCAGAGGGAGGGGACGAGGAAAGGAGGGTAGCGGTCTTTGAAGGCGGACAGGAAACCTCCAGGGTCATGAATTTTTCAACACGCTGCTTCCGCAGGGTTACAAGGACTCGTACAGGTGTAAGGAAGCAGGTTGTCGCAGACATCTGTTCTGCACGGGGGCCCGGGTGTCCGTGCTACCCCCGCGCTCCTCTCCATGCTTCCATCCCTCCCCCTTCTCTTTCCCAGCAGTCTCCTTTTGTGTCTCCCCCTCCCTCCCTCTCTCAGTGCTGCCGCCCGGAGCCAGACCGCTGGATTGTCAGCAGATGCAGAAGAGAGACAGAAAATGAGAGTGAAACAATTTTTTTTCCCTTTTTTTTGTGGTCTCACATTTAGCGCCCGAGGGCCTTCAACACCAAAGGTAGAGTGGGGGTGGACACAGCTGCAGTGCCGAACTTGCCCCAGGCACAAATAAAGAGATCTAATGCGGTTTGACTGTGTTGTTGGTGAGACCAGGGAGCCGGGGAGGCACTTCAGAGCCAACTTAGCACAGCAACATCTGCCGCCAAGTTTTGCCGGGGATCGACTGGGGACAGCAGGTAGAGGAAGGTGGCAGAGAGAGAAGGGGAGGGCGGGAGAGAGGGAGGTTGGCCTTATTCTGATGCTCTCTCAGGCTCTTTTTGAAGAGGCGGCGGTGTGCGTGCACGCATTTCTTTCTGCATTTTCCAACGCCTACCTCTGAATTCTAGGTATTGTTTTCTAAAAACAGCTGTTTACAAAATGTCCAAACAGGGTGCATCACCATACATTAAACCCTCCTCATCCTCCTGCAGATCAAAACGCAGGAGAAAAAAACGGAGAAAAAAGGCGTTTTGAGTTCTTGTGAGTCCGTGAGGATTTACAGTTGAATTTCCATTTGTTCCTCTCAGGCTCATCTGTTCCTCACCAGGGGGATGTGTGGGCTGAGTGTGCTGGTGTGCGCGGAGGTTAATAGTATTAGCTGACGCTATTGCTATTGGAAAAAACTTACTTCTTTGTGGGGAGGTGGGGAATCTCCCTTCTTGAACGTTGAAATGGTAGTTTAACGAGGTGATGGGTTCTGATCCCAGGGGTAGAGAGAGGACACAGAAGAGAAACAGAAGCCTTGTGTTTCCTCCCACATCCATCTCCTGATGTCATTTTATCCCAACCTCTGCAAAGGTTCTGCGTTTTTATCGAGTTTTATACCTTTAAACTAAATAGTTAGAGATGCTAAATCCAATCAGGGGAT